ACAGCAGAGCTCAAACACACCACATCTCTTGTCTTCACATCAGGACTCAAACACACCAACATCTCCTGTCTTCACAGCAGAGCTCAAACACACCATGCCAGAACAATCTGGACATCCCTATAAATACAAACACCTGTCCAACTAGCCCTGGCTTTGCACTTTCCCCTCAGCAGCGCACTAGGAACAAAGTGAAGCTATTTCCTACTTGGATTGCCCTCTGGACCCTGCCAACTCAAAGCTTATCCCAGGCCTGGCCCTCCAGGGCCTCCTCATGAGGAACATGAATCCCTCATGGGTTAGCTATAAGCCACTTCCTGTGCCATCCTCCCTAGAGGTCAGCACCCACCTTAGATCAAGTCTCTGAGCATAGCCGTCTCCTTAAGGGACCACGAATTCTGAGGCCAGAGCCCAGACACTGTGTGCCCTGGGGTTGCCCCCATGGCCCAGCACACATCAGGTATTTTATCTTGTACCCACCTTCAGCTAGTTGCTTTGTTAAGTGCTTTCCACATCGACTATCTTCAGTCCTCTCTGAAATAATGTAGGCACTTTTCAGATAAACTAAAGCTTGGGGAAGCTCAAAAATTTGGACAAAGTTCACCCAGATAATGAATGATAGAACAGGGATATTTAAGAAATGTTGGTTTGAAAGAAACAACATTTTCCTGACTAACATGGCCAAAGTGCCACAGGTCAAAGATCCAGGAGGCATGCCAACTGGGAGACTGCCTCTTTGGGTGCCCAGGAAGAAAAGAGAGATGAGGCAGGCACAAGACAGGAAGGAGATGAAGCAAGTATTCTGAGGACTTGCCAAAAAACACCAGAGGTAGAGAGCCCAGAGCCCAGATGACATCTGGTGGAAGGGCATGGGCTGCCTGCCACTTCCAGAACATGCCACACCATCCTATTTGTGAAGGATCAGTGCACAGCCTCCACTCTCTACCCCACCTCAGGCTGCAGCTGCTGAGGAGTGAGTGATGGTGACTCCAGGCTACCCTGGGGCTCCACCAGGAAGCTACTTACTGCCTGTTCCTGACCAACTATAGCAAGACATGATAGCAATGGCCCAGGCTGGCTGTCAAAAGGCCAAGTGCAAATCCAGGGTTTTTTGGTCCTTGAAAGCTCCTGACACCAATTTCTGGGTTATTGGACATGATGGTAGGTGGATCATGATATCTAACAACCCTCACAACTTAGTCTAAAAGATATGATTTTTCTGGAGTGGAAAGTCCAAAGGAGGAGAAACACGTGGCCCAGGACTTGATTAACCTGTTTCCTGGCTTTATTTTCCTTCCTCACAAAATGGTGGTCATGAAGAAACAGGCCCGAAACCATTTCTCACTCCTCAACCCTTTCTCTGTAGGTTTGAATTTTATCTACTTCACCTCTAAACCTTTACAGAAGCTGCCCTGCCTGCCTGGAAAACACTTTCCTTCTCACTCTTGTCCATCTTCCAGCTCCTACTATGTCTGGGGTCTCAGCAGACACCCCATTCACACTAGTATTTTCCTGGTCTCCCAGATGAGGCCTCTCTGGAGCTCCCTGCGCCACGCAGTCCTTGCGTGCTTTGCCCTTCTCCCTGAGAAGTGTCCCTAGTGGAGGGTGGAGGCGGAGGTGAGTGGTTTCCAAGAGATGTGTCCTCTCAAGGATTTTTAAGGAAATGTAATGACAGCTAAAATCTTGATCAAAAGATGTTCGAGAGTGTCATGCAAAGCAAGGTAGTCAGACTTGGGACTGCAGGCTGAGGAGGTCGTGGAAGAGGAACATCTCTTAAAAGCCCTCACTCCCCCATCAGTCAGTGGCACAGGCCCCAACCTCGAGTTACCCCTTTCCAATGTTGGAAATTTCAGGCCTCTGTTCTTGCCCATCAGATGGCATATTCATGAGGGTGGGCACCTCATTTCCTCATGCTCACAATCGGATGCCCAACACCCAGCTCCCCAGCCAAGGACACACAGTAGGAGTTCAATCAATATTTGCTGAATGAATAAATAAATAAATTATATCACCTCCAGGATGTTCCTACCCTTCCCTGGGTCTCAATTTCCTTACTGGTAAAATGAGGTGATGGGACACTATGCGTTATGAAGACCTTTCCGTCTCTGAATTTGATGGCAGTCTAGTTCTTCATCTGGCACTATGACGTCTGTGGGCTAATTTTGGCAAGGTCTTTAATTCCTTTCAGTGGAAGATGTTAGTGAATAAAAATTACTTATTAGGTGTGAAATCTATGCAAAACAAGTTTATCTTTTATTTGATGAGACAAACACAGGTCTCAGAAGAAAGGTGAGACATTAAGACCAAAATAAAGACATCTCAGATGATACAGAGAAAGAAGCCTACCAAAACATTCTGACACTATGAATCACATTGTTAATTTTGATTACAATGATTGTTCCCAACCTAATTTTTTCCACACAAAAGAAGAGTCTATAAAGTATACCTCTACTGAAAACATGTTCCTGGTGTGGTAAAAGTAAAACATGACTGAGCTGAGACATGCCACAACCTGCCTGGCGAAGGCCATCTAGAAACCAGGCAAGGTTGTCAAAAAAGACCACCGAATCCAGTCAGGCTTCCTGGGTGGGATGTGAGTTAAATCCATAGGAACAAATAGAATTTAGATAGGTGGACAGACGGATGGATGAACGGCTAGACAGATGGACGACGGAGTAGGCAGTAGCTAGAGAACAGAATGCACTATAGACACAGCTAGAGATAATGTGGTATATTCAAGTTTGGTATGTTGTGAGGATATGCAGTATATTTAAGTTGTCCCAGTACCAACTTAACTACAAATAACTCCTCCAAAATAACTACAAATATTTGACCATCAGAAGTTCATTCCTTTGGACAGTCTCTTTAGGACATACAAACACATTTGGACAAGTTAATGTACTTATCCCTTAAATACTAAAACGTAGAGTCAGAATGCCTGGGTTTGACCCACACTTTTCTAATTCCTATTTCTATGATCATGGGCAAAATGACTTAACCTTTTTGTCCTAGTATTTCCAGGCTGCTATAACAAAATACCGTAGACTGGGTAGCTTATAAGCACCAGAAATTTACTTCTAACAGTTCTGGAAGCTCGAAGCCTAAGATCAGGGTGCCTATATGGCCGTGTTCTGGTGAAGGCCTGCTTGCTGGTTCCTAGGTGGTGCCTTCTTGCTGTGTCCACGTGTGGTAGAAGGAAAGCAAGTTCTCCCGGGTCTCCATCTATAAGGCACTGATCCCTCTTCAGGAGGGCTCCACCTTCATGACCTAATTACCTCCCTAAGACCTCACCTCCAAATGCAACATCACCTTGTTAGAATTTCAACACATGAATTTTAGGGGAGACACAAACACTCTAATCACATACTCTTTGAGTCTTGGTTTCTAATGAGAAACAACTAAGGTAAGTGTAAATATTAACAATCATTAACAATCATCATCTACAACTTCATGCAAACTCTGATCACTGAGAGAGCGCCAGCTTAGAGCCAGCAGCTCAGTGGGGCAGGGTTGAAGGGCTGAGCCTCTATTAGGCGAAGTCTCTGAGATAGGCCAGTAATAGCAACACACAGTCACGTGGTATGCAGGTGTCAGGCACTATGCTTATCACTTTCTACCTACAAACTCCTTTATCCTTCAACAGCCCTGTTTTGTACAGCAGGAAACTAAGTGCATGGAGTTGAGGATCTTTCCCAAGCTTACACAAGCAGACAACAGCAACACCAGCTCTAAACTCAGCCTCGTGACTCATAGCACAATGCCTCTCTGTTGCAATAGTGGGTGAGGACCAGGGACCTCAGAGAAGTAAATGTGGAGGTGGCAGGAAGGAGCAGCAAATGCTTGTAGGTCAGTGTCCTACTGGACATCACTCAGTTGCAAATAAATTGGCCCCAGAGAGTGGGTACGCTGGCTTAGAGGAGCCCAGAGAGATTCGGGAGGAAAGAGCTGACATGCCGAATGCCATTTCAACAGAACTCACTGTTCTTTTCTGATTTTAAAACATCTTGAGACCTCTGTTTGGTCACCAGACAATCCTTAATGTCCCTTCCAAAGCTGAGAAGCTGTGAAAATTAAAAACGTTGGAGCATAATTAAAGTAAACGTTGATTCATGTTGAGGGCCAGGGGTTGTGCTGGGAGACTGGTGGAAGAAATCAGAAAGCATATTCTAAAATAAATAGAACATCATGAAAATGGCAAGAGATCATAATTACCATGAGTCACCATATTCCAGTCCATGACAGTTACCAGAAGCAAGAACTTACCTTAAAGAGTGAAGTTTGACCAAAGAAATTGAACAAGATGGTCTGTAAGTTGTCAAGAGGAATTTTCTTTCTCAGTGACTTGGGCAAGTATATGGATGCCAAAACCCTCTCCAGAGGGACATCGCTTAGGTAAATCTGCCAAGAACAATCAGGACATGAAAACTGGGGTCGCCACCCATCACACTGAAGTCTGTCCCATCGCGCACCCACGTCCAGTTTCAGCCCAAGGGTGTCGTGTGGAGGCTAAAGAGGAGAGACCAGCTCTGCATGCTACACCTTTACACACACACAAGCGAAGTAAAAATCACACCTGTAGGCCCTCCGTGTGGCTCAGCAGGCTAAGCACAGCACTATGGAGGTGTCTGCAGCCACTGCAATAGGGGTTTGAGGCCCCAGCCAGGGAGCTGACCCACGTGGCACAGCAGACCTCTTCTCACTGCTCCCCTCAGCAGTGTATTTTTATCTGCCTGTTCTGCTGCCCACTCTGTCTCTGGTGAATCCTCTCATGCCCCCTCTGCACCTCTGGCCTGTTCCCATAAATAAACAAATCTTTAAAAAAATTTAAATCACGCCTGACCCTCATGCAATAGACACACATACACACCACCTTTGCCTGTCTAAACCAGTCCTCGACTTCCTCTCCCTTTGATTTGCTTCCACCTCAGTGGAGCTAAATCTAGAAATGGCCCACATGTTACTTAGCAGACCAGGGTTATCAAATAGCTAATATCACTGTGCTTACTTTTTATGAAGATGATATCCTTATAATTAATGCAAAAAGAAGAAGTAACATCAGAGAAAGAGAAGCGAAAACAGAATAAAATGGACCTTGTATAACTAGAAATAAAATATCAAAAGCAAATTGAATCATGGATGGGTTCAAAGATTGGTAACAAAGACGACAGGAGGTCAGTAACTCTGAAGTTAAATCTGTAGAAATTATGCTGTCGGGGCCTCCCTGGTGATGTGGGGGTTAAAGTCTCAGAACTATCAGGCTATCCGCAGCCACTGCAGCACGAGTTCTATCCCCAGCCAGGGAGCTGACCCACATGGTGCAGCAGACCTCTCCTGTCTCGCCTGTTGCTCTGCTCCGCAGTGGATTTCAGTCCATCTGCTTATTCTGTTGCCCCCTCTGGGTCTGGTGAATCCTCTCATCCCACCCCCACCTCTGGCCTACACCCCAGCTCTTGTATGCATAAATAAATAAAAATAAATATTAAAAAATTTATGCTGTCAGAAGAATGGATAGCAAAAGGATAAAAAAAAAATGGGCAGAGCTTCGGAGACTTATGAAGCAGTACCAAAAATCTTACATACATATAATTGGAGTCTGAATGGAAGAGGAAAAAATGGAGAAGGAACAACATTTAAAGAATTAATGCTAAAAATCGCCCCAAATTTGGCAAAGACATAAATTCATTTATTCAAGATGCTCAACAAAGCTCAAGGAGGATAAATACAGTCCAGCTGAAAAAAGAAAGAAAAAGAAAAAAGGCAAACTGCAAAAACACATGCACACACACACAGAGAAAGAAAACACTTAACGTAACGAGAGGAAAAGGACACATCACAAACAGAAACAAAAATTCAAATAATTATGATTACTGATTTCTCCTCTGAAAACATACAAGTCAGAAAAGAGTAGAATACCATATTTTAAATGTTGGGGGAAATACAGTCCATTCTGTAATAAACAAAAATATCCTCCAATAATAAGTGCAAGATAAAGACATGTTCAGATACATGAAAAATAAGCAATTTTATCACCACCAGACTTTATACTATAAAAATTGCTAAATGAAGCTCTTGAAGTTGAAAGAATATTTTATCAGATGGAATCTAACCTTCAGGGTGGAATGAAGAGCATTGAAAATGATAAATATCTAGGTAAACATAAAAGACTTTTTATCTCAACTTCATAGAACTTTAAAAAACAATGATCATAACATTTAAAGCATGGATAAAAGGTGAAACAAACTATAAGCTATCTAAAAGAAGTGCACTTTAAGTATGAAGACACAGATAATTAGAAAGTACTGAGATCTATATAATAATAACACTAAGCATAAGAGGACAAGAATGACATCAAAATCAGATAAACAGGCGGTAAGACAAAGAGAGAGAAATGAACACAAAAACACAGAGGGCCTTTTCAAAATGGTAAGTAGGTTAAGGTAAGAGTTAGTATTAAAAAGACATAGCAACATAAATGTGTATTTATTCAATAATAGAGCTCCCAAAGTAAAAAAGGTAAAATTTAATGGGACTATAGAGAAATAGACAATTTCACGAAATTAGAGATATTAAGACTCCTGTAAACTGAAATCTGAGAAACTTACCAACCACCTTCAGATTTAATTACCATTTGTAATTCAACATATTCAACAACTGTACGATGCACATTTTTTAAGTGCTCATGAAATGCCAAGTTTTTCAAGTATATAAAATATCAAAATACGAATTACATCATACACTGGATTATAAAGCAAGCCTGAATAAATTTAAATGGATTGAAATATACTGAGTATATTCTGTGGCCAATATGAAATAACAAGGAATCAGTAACAATAAAATATCTTAAATTCCACCTACCCTCACCCCCCAACCAACAAAAAAATTGGGGAGATTTAAAGAACTTACTGTCAGGTCAGGAAGAAAAGTAGAAAATATTTTGAAGTGGCTAATCATGAAAATACAACACATTGAAATTTGTGGACTGCAATGAAGGCAATGCTTACAGAGAGCTTATAGTTTGTTATGATTATATAGAAAATAATTGTCTAAAATTGGTGACCATGGATCCACCTTAAGAAGCAAGCTAAAGGGCCCTCCCTGGGGGTGCAAGGGGTTAAGACACAGAACTAAGGGGGGAAGTAACTATAATAAAGTAAAAATCAAAATCATCAGACAACTATAGATCAGAGACACTCTGTAGGAGCGGGGTGGAAGGATCTGGCAGTGGAAAGAGCACAAGGGACTCTGGTGATGGTGCACGGGTGAAATGGTGGTGGGAATTTCACAGGGAAATCATACATTGCACAAAAAGGAAGGATAATGTAATGAATATATTTTTAAAAATAAATAAACAGAAGCATGCAATAATTAAAAAAAAAAAAAAAAAGGACACAATACTATGAATTTCTCCACAGCCACTGCAGCATGAGTTCCATCCCTGGCCAGGGAGGTGACAAACAACCTCTCCGGTCTCATCCGCTGCTCCCCTCAGCAGTGTATTTCAGTGGACCTGCCTTTTCTGACTCCCACTCTGTCTTTGGTGGGCACTCCCACACCTGCCATCTCTGGCCTGCTCCCCAGTTCTTGTGAGCATAAATAAATAAATCTTTAAAAAAGAAAAAAGGAAGCTAGCTAAAGAGAGCAAAGTAAACCCACAGCAAATCCAAAGAAGGAAATAAAGGTAAGTGTGGATATCAACAAAGACAAAAAACAAACAATAAAGTAACAAAGCTAAAGTTGGTTGTTAGAAAGGATCAACAAAAATTAAAAAAAAAAAGCCTAGTTATATTGATCAGGAAAAAAAATCGATATCAATATCAAGTATGAAAGAGAAATTACTACTACAGATCATCGTTTAGCAAACTAGATAGTAGACCAAGTCCTGCCAAAGTCTTATTTTTGTATGCCTGGAGCTAGCAATGACATTTTTGCATCTCCATTTAAAAAGGGTGTGAGGAAAAAAGAAAGCAAGGAAGAAAAAAAGGGGAAGGAAGGAGAAAAGAAACAGAAAATAAGAGCACGCAACAGAGGGCACCTGTGTGTGACTTACGAAGCCTAAAATATTACTGACAAAAACATTCGCCGACCACTCCTAAAAGTCCTACAGAAATTAAAAAATAAGTATTATGAACAACTACTGCTAACAAGCTTGACAACTTAGATGAAATAAGTTCTTAGAAAAAATATAATTAATCAAAACAGACACAAGATGAATCAGAATATCTGAATGGTTCTATATCCATTAACTAAATTGGATTTGCTATCAAAATGCTTCCCACAACGAATTCCAGACACAGTTTCCTAGTGAACATTAGCAAGCGTTTCATGAAGAAGTAACATTAAACAAACGACCAATTCCCAACTCGCTTTTATAAAGTTGGCAAAACTTTAAAGCCTGATAAAGAAATGAGAAGCAAAGACAATTTCAGTCCAACATCTCTCATGAATATAAGTGCAAAAATGTTTAGCAGAATACAAGCAAGCGAAAGTATCGATATATAAAGATGATGACACACAATGACTGCTAGGGTTTCTTCTGGAAATAGAAGGTTGATTCTCAAACCAACCTATTTCACCATAGAAAAATAATGGAAGAGAAAAATCAAATGATTACTTCAAGAGATACAAAAGATTTGGCACAATCAACAACCATCCACTACAAGATTTTTCAGCAAACTAGGAACAGAAAGTAACTTCCTCAATCAAATAAAGGGCCTCTGAAAAGCAAAATCATTTTTTTTCCACTCAGCTGCTGACAGGCCATCCAGAGGAAGATCAGAAAACTTCAGGGACACACGAGCCATGGTCCAGGTCACATCATTCTGTATATCTGCAGGCAAGCACCGGAAGCACCCCAGAGTCTGAGTGGGGGCAGGCATCACCACAGGATCAACTTTGACAAATAGCACTCAGGTTATTCTGAGGAAAGCCAGTATGAGGCATTACCACTTAAAGAGGTCTCAGCTTCTGCCCAATGGTCAACCTTGATGAACTGTGTGGTAAGTGAAGAGACTCAGGGAAACACTTTTACAAACAAGACTGGAGCTGTTTCCATCACTGATGTGTTGTGATTGCGCTACTCCAAAGTTCTAGAGAAGAGAAAGCTTCCCAAGCAGTCTGTGGTCTTGCAGGCCAAATTCTTTAGTGGAAGAACTGAGGAGAAGGTTAAGGGAGAGAGCGGGAGATGTGTGTCCTGGAAGCCACGTGGAAGAAGATGCTACAAGTGTTTTCAAAACCAACAGCAAAACAAAAATAAATTAATAAATAAAAAGCATAACACTGCTGCTGTTACATTAATTGTAAAATAGTGAATACTTTTTTCCTATTATCAACTCTAGACAAAGAAGTACACTTTAGCCACTTTTATTCAACATTTTATTGGAAGCACTACTATCAAAATAAGACAAAATAGGAATGAAAAGATCGATAAAGAAGACATAAAAGTGTGTTGTCAGATGATGTGGGCTTATGTAGAAATTCCTAAGAAATCTCAAAAACAACTAATAGGTGAGCTAATAGGATTTAGATAGATGATAAGTAGATAATACATCACTATATACTTGCAATGAGCAATTGAAAAATGAAATTTAAAAACAATATGCAACATCATCAATATTTAAGAATAAATTTAACAAAATATATGCAATACCTCTCCACTTAGAAACTACAAACTATTGTTGAGAGAAATTAAAATAGGGCTACTTACACACTCAAGATTGCTATGAAATTAGTTCTCCCAAAATTGGCCACTAACTTCAACTTGATCCCAAATCATAATCTTAGCATAATCTTAGTACATATTGACAACCAGATTTAAAAATTCACATGTATATGCAAAACACCTACAGTAACAAAAACAATCTTGAAAAAGAACCAAATGGAAAAGTTACACTACCTGACTTCAATACCACAGGAATCAAGATGGCGTGGTAACGACATAAATACTTATTTAAAAAAACATGGAACAGGACCTCCCTGGTGGCGCAGCAGGTTAAAGCACAGCACTAAGAAGCTAAAGCCACTTCCGCATGAGTTCGATTCCCACCTGCCCCAGAGGTGACCACAGGGCGGCAGCCCTCTCCTGACCCGCCCGCTGCTCCCCTCAGCAGTGTACTTCCTCGATCTGCCTGTTCTGCTCCCCACTCTGTCTCTGGTGAAGCCTCTCGCCGCCCCTGAGCCTCTGGCCTGTACCCCAGTTCTGTATGCACAAAATAAATAAATCCTTAAAAAAAATACATGGAACACAATAAAAAGTTCAGAAATAGACCTACATTGACATGAGCAATTGATTTTATTTTGTCAAAAGTGCCAAGTCATGGTAAGGGGAAAAATCTTTATTAAACAGGGTTAGGATAACTGGTTATCTATGTGGAACAAACTGTATACCACAAATGTCTCATGCTACAAGCAACAATTGATTCAATTCATTGGGATATAGTCCTAAAATATAAACCCATAACACTCAAAGATTGAATGAACAGAAGAAGATCTGGTAGGCAATGATTTCTTAGACATAGTGATTCATAAAAGAAGAGAAAATTCATAAATTAGATCCCATCAAAGTTAAAGTGCATGCTTTTTATAACACACCATTAAGAAAATAAATAGGTAGGCCCAAGAGAAAATACTTTCAAAACATATCTGATAAATGACTTCAATCCAGAATATGAAAAGAAAAATATTTGCAACTCAATAGCAAGAAGATAAACAACCCAATGTAAAACAAGCAATATATTTTAACAGGTACTTTACCAAAGAAGATATACAAATGGCCCATGCAAAAATGAAAAATCACTCCACATCTTTAACTACTCTTAACAAATAGTTTACTAGGTTCTTACAAATTTAAACATGTATCTTAAGAATCAGCAATTCCATTCCTGGATATTTTCTCAAGATATTTGAAAACATGTCCACAAAAGACTTTTACAAAAATGTTGATAGCATTATTCAAGTGTCCATCAACTGGAGAATAGATCATCTGTGGCATATCCGTGCACATCCATACAATGGAATATTATTCAGCAGTAAAAGGAATAAACTACAGAAACAAAAGAATCTTAAAAACAAACCACTATTATGCTACATGAAAGAGAACTTACATAAGAGAGTACATATCATGTAATCCCATTTACATGTTGTTCTAGAAGAAGTAAAACTATGGTGGAAAAATACGAAAAACATTGGTTGCCAATAGAGAATATTTTCAGGGATTGCCTGGGACGGGGCATGCAGGGATCTGACAGCAGTGATAGTGGATTCAGTTACACAGATGCACATACTGGTCAAAATTCAGAGAATATATATACCAGGAATTTGTGCTCTTCCCCATTTGTACATGCTATCATTTTTAAGCTCTAAACAAATGTTTCCCATGCTGTTTGGAGCTGGGGTTAGCGGTGTATAACCTGCCCAGGTTGAGGCAGTGTGGCGTGGCAAAGGGACCCAGGCTTCAAAGCCAGCCAGACTTGTGCTTCTATCCTGACTCAGCCATTAAACTGTGTGTCCTTGGGCAGGTTACTTAACTTCTCTTTTTCCTTATCTGCACAAATGACGCGGTAGCACAATGCCCAACATATATGGGCTCTATAAATTGGAGCTAATGCTAACCCGATATTAAAGATAATTGTGGGGCCCTCCCTGGTGGCGCAGCGGGTTAAAGCACAGCACTAAGAAGCTTAAGGCCACTTCCGCATGAGTTCGATCCCCGCCTGCCCCGGAGGAGATCCACATGGCCAGGCATGACCCGCCCGCTGCTCCCCTCAGCAGTGTACTTCATCGCTCTGCCTGTTCTGCTCCCCACTCTGTCTCTGGTGAATCCTCTCACCCTCCTCATCTCTGGCCTGTACCCCGTTCTGTATAAATAAATAAATCTTAAAAAAAAAAAAAGATAATTGTGGCTCATGGCCGGTAAGATTTTCACAAGGCATGGTACCATTCCAACTGAGTTAGTCTACTAAGAGTGATACATGACTCTTTCCTGGCATATTTGCATTTCGAAGATTAAAAACCTTAATGAGCTACTCCCTCCGGCTCCCCAAGGGTAACTAGATGAAATCTTGGGGCAGTGTCAGCTGACTCAGTTCCCAAGGGAGCACAGACTCACCTCAGGGTCTGTGCCTTCTTCGTAGGCGCGGATGCTGAAAGCCATGCCTTCAAAGGTGTGGTCCACCCGCAGCACGGCCAAGGCTACCCCGGCCACCGTCAGGTTGGCGGTCCTCCCAAGAAACTCCATCTTGTGACCTGCGCGCTCAATTATCCTCAGGATTCTACAAGGAACCACAGGCAGAGAAGAACGTGTTCACCTTTCATGAAAAGCTCATCTTCCTGTGAAGATTTCCTCCATGTAAGACTAATTTATGACCACTATTTACATATTGTTTGGAATGATAAGGTAAGAAAACTGGCTTTGGAGTCAGATGGGCTGAGGCCTAAGTCATCGCCCCTCTAATTTCTAACTCTACAAGCAGGTGAAAAGAATCTCTTTGATCTCCACTTTCCTCGTCTGCAAGGTCAAAGATAATACTAGTACCTGTCTCAAAAGATTGTTTAAACATTAACAAAAAGTGTTGTCTATAAAGCAAGATACTGCAGGACCCCATAGGACATGAAATTTGGATTTCATTCGCCGTGTAACAGAAAGCCACTGAGTGATTTTAAAAGCAAGCAAATAGCATGACCTGATACACAGCAGGACCCTAAGTAACATTATTTGGGTCAACGTCATTTCGTTATAACATCGACGAGAAAAAACAATCCCAACAGACATTAAGCAAATAGCATTAATTGAGGACCTGCTCTTGTTGGATGTTGTTTCAGTCAAAGTCCCTGTTCCAAAGACCTATTGATGTTGTTCACTTGCCGTGTGCAATGAAAGGTAGTGTGTAGGAGACAGACCACAGGAAGGCAAGGGCAGAGGTAGGGAGACCAGAGAGGAAGTTACTGTAGAAGGTCAGGTGACAGAAATAGGACAGACTAGGGTGTGGCAGGGGAGCTGGAGAGAAGTGGTTGGATTCCAGGAATATTTAAAGTATCAGAAAATAAGTACAGCGGACCTCCCTGGTGGCATCGGGCTTTAAGTCTCAGCACTATGAAGCTATTGGCAGCCACTGCAGCATGAGTTCGATCCCCAGCCAGGGAGCTGACCCACATGGGGTAGCAGACACCTCCTGTCTCCCCCACTGCTCCCCTCAGCAGTGTATTTCAGTGAATCTGCCTGTTCTACTCCGCACTCTGTCTCTTGTGAATCCTCTTACCATCCCCTCCCACCTCTGGCCTGTACCCCAGTTCTTGTACGCATAAATAAATAAATCTTAAAAAAGAAAGTGCAGCACCATACCTTTCATATCAGTAGTGAATGTATGGAAAGGAATTAATAATGCCTATTTTTAGTTTCATGAAATTATTTATTTGACCCAAGCATTAGTACTTACTCATTGCTTACTTCATGCAGCTCAGATGCAGAACTGTGCTGCTTGCCCAAAGCAGCGTTAATTATTTGCAATATAGTCTGGGTTAGGTTCATACTTATCTCATTACAGTATGAAATATCAGATATTTTAGAAACAATAATCTTTATTTCATTCTTATCCAGAGGGGGGGATTCATTTATCAAATTTAAAATGTGCTCTGCGACCTCTTCAGCGTTCTCTGAGGAAACAAAATTGAAATATAAAACCTGCATTATTCAGCTTTGGACCTTGCTGCTCTGCCTTGGTCCCTCTAAAAAGTAAAGGCAATGAAATGGAAAAATATACCGAGGTAGTAAAGTTTGCAAAAGAAAAGTGCTGGAGCTCAGCATCTCCACGGTGGCATCCCATAAAGTAGCACGTAAGTGACGTTCTTATTCATTACAAAAAAAAAATTAAATACACGAGGGAACCTTTTGTCACTGAAGAATTATCTTGTAATTAGATTCTAATTGAGTTAAGACTTTTGAGCATTGTATTCAGTTAAGCAGCTCCCACCTATACTCAAATATCAGCAAACATTCAGTCTATGTTTTCAAAGTCAAAGTTGGTGATTATGTTTTTCTGTCAAGAACTAGCAGCTCATGGGGGGGGAGAGGGAGCAAATACGGACCAGAGAATGATAAAAAGCAACTTACTTTAGACTTTTGTAGAGATTAAGAACAATAGATATTAACTCGCCCACTTTTCCTCACTTTTATTATGGAAATTTTCAAACATGCACAAAAGTAGAAAGAAGAGTTTAATGAATCCCCGTGTATGGTATGAATCACAGCTTCAACAAGTGTCAATGAAGAGCTAATCTTATTTTATCCACACTCCCGCCCACCTCCCCCAACTCCAGATTATTTTAAAGCAAACCCCAGACATCGTATCATCTCACCCACAAACACTTCAGTATGGATCTCTAAAGCACAAAGGATAGCTTATCTTTTACAAGTTAGCAATTCAAAATCAACAACTATTCAGTCAGTGTTCAAATTTTCTTCATTGTTTTATAAATGATTTTAGAAAGATAGAATGTGAATCATCACCCACTTTTATGATTCATAGCTTTGTTAACATGAAAAAGTTTAGCTCAACATGACCCATGGAAACCTGAGGACCCGTGGTGCCGCCTAAGTATAAAGCACTCACACTGAAGTTCAGTAACTGAGAGAATGGAAAATAATTGAAAAATATAATCTGTTAAGAAATATTCCAAAGAGAGAGCACACTTATAACACACTGCCTCAACTAAATTACAAATAACCCCCTCTGTTTGGGAAAACAAAATAATTCATCGTGAACTTCTCTCCACCTGCCCGCATTTCTCATTCTCTTCCAATGTTCTTTGCATTTGGCAACATCTCCCGCTACATCTGTCTCTTCTACCTCAAGCCTTCCACAACTGCACCCCAGTAGAGCCTGTGCAGGCTAATTTTTGTAAACAATGCTGTCCTGGCCAGTGTCAACACCCCAATCTGCCCAGCCATGGCTCACCTAACAATCAAGTCAGCTGAGAATTCTCTGTAGGAAGGAAAGAGGGGTGTCACTGGACACAGAAGGAAGAGATGGACAAAAGGGGGAGATTAAGCAGGGTTGCAATTACTTTTAAATCAATAGTTTGTCCTCTTTGCATCTAGCTCTGGTCAGTTAAAGAAACCAAGACAACAGTAAGATCAGGGATGGAAGCATGGTGCTCTCTTTCACAGATCTTTCCACTGTTGTTATTGGATTGCTCTGGGTATGTTGTAAGTGGGAGGTCCTAAACTGTTTATGGGACCGCTGTTCTCTGAACTTCAGGCAGTCCCTGCAAAGGCAGGATGGAAGTAAACCCCAGGCTAATGGGAGGCTGTGTCAAGGAAAGTAACCTTTGCCTTTTCATCTAGAGCGATAGAGTTCTGAAGGAAGAATCAAGACAAATTACATTCATGTAAAAAACCTAGGTCTCCAAGCGAAAACAATAAAAGGAGTCTTCCTTTATTAGCATAAAATAAACCAGTGCCCATTGCTTGAACTAGTTAGAGCTAATCTACCAGTAATTAGCACAATCAAAACAATAGCAGCATGTTATTTTATTGAGGTAACTCTGTATTCTAGTTATGTATTGCTGCATAACAAACCACACCAATGGCTTCAAAAGGCAATTTATTGCTATCCTCGTGATTCTATAGTTGGCGAGGCTCAACTGGGCAGGCAGTCTAACAGCAACTCAAATATTGGTAATATCCTGCCTCTGGCTAGGGAACAGATATTAATTGGACCAGACTATAGAGCACTTTTGTCAAAAACAGCAGAACAATCAAATGGCAAGTAGGAGGCTAACAGCTAGGTGTCAGACCAACAGAGGCAGACCAGCCAGAAGCTCAGTGGACAGATCAGAAAAAAGATAATCAGAGAGAACCCAGCTAGGACCACAGATGTTCCTAGTAGTCAGAGAAAATATGCCCACATGCAAAGCAGCATATTCTAAGAAGCAGCATCAGAGAATTTATGCTGTAGGGGAAATAGACTTCAGTAAACTAGTCTAACCACTGAACTAGTCTTGGAATTTTTTACATCCATAAAACAAACAATTCTAAAATTCACTGGAAAACACAAAAGACCTTGGATAACTAAAATAGCCTCAAGAAAGAGCAGGGACATCAACAGCCTTGATACTGAGATATATTTCAAAGCTATAGTAATCAAAACAATGTTTTACTGGTATGAGGACAAACACATAAACCGGTGGAACAGAGCAGAGCGCCCAGAAATAAATCCACACATATACCATCAACAGACCTTTAGCAAAAGGACCATGTATACACCATGCATATACCTTATATAAATCTGACAAGGAGTTAATTTCTACTTAGACAGAGAACTCCTGCAACTCAATCACAAAAGAAAGGGGACAAGGGTATTTCTCAAAGAAATACATGAGACCAATAAATACATGAAAAGATGGTCAAAATTAGTAACCATCAGGAAGCTGGAAACCAAACCATGGGCTATCACTTTATAACTAGCAAGACGGCCATGGTCAGAAATCAAGAGAGTATAAAAGCAGGCAAGAGTGTGGAGAAAAGGAACCCTTGTCACTGGGGGGAAATGTAAATTGGTAAAGCCATTGTGGACAATATGGAGGTTCCTCAAAAATTTGAAAATAGAACTACCAATCTCAATTGTGGGTGTGTCAGCAAAGGAAACAAAACCACTATCTTGAATATAAAATTATACTCTCATGTTCACGGCAGCATTACTCATAATGGTGAAGATATGGAAACAACCTAAATGTCTGTGGAGACAGGATTAGGAATAGCTAACAAAAATAATACATACATAATATATCTATACACATATACATACACACGCACAATAAAAATTTATTCAGCATTTAAAAAGAAGGAAAGCCTGCCATTTGCCACAACATGAATGCACCTGGAGAGAATTATGCTAAGTGAAATAAACCAGACACACAAAGATAAATCCTGCATGATCTCACACGAGCATGGTATCTAAAATAATCAAATGCACAGAGGCACAGAATGGAACAGTTGTCGCCAAGGACTTGGGCAGGAGAAAACAGAGTTACTAACCAACACCATGAAGCTTTGGGTCAACAACATGAGTAAGTTCTAGAGATCTGCTAACAACATAGTACCTAGGCTCAGTAGTCATGTCAAGAGAGTAGAGCTCTTGTGAAGTGCTCTTACTACAGTAAGACAAAGTCATGAGAAGGAAGTAAATGAGAGGTGACTGCTAAAGTGAAAGGTGTCCTTTCTGGAGTGATTAAAATGTTCCTGAATTCACGGCCATGGTTGTTCAAGTTCATGAGAATATGAAAGCCACAGAAACGGATACATTAAATGAGTGAATTTAATCATGTGTGACTATCTCTGCAAAAAAAAAAAATCGAACTACATTTAGCTATCAATTTCTGCTTATCAAATCACCAAAGATCCAAAAGTCTGATAACATGCTGTGTTGATGAAAGTGTTCAGAAACTGGCACTTTCGTACCTTGCAATGCGGGAGTATAAATTGGGACGATGATTACAGAGAGCATCTGACACCATCAAAAGCAGGACTGATGTGGCAATTCCACGCTTAGGAATTTGTGCTTCAAGTATACATGACATGTATCCCTATCCATTACGACAGTTTTTTAAAACAAAATGTTACCAACAACTGAAATACCCACCCATAGGAAACAAGCTAAAGGAATAAAGGATGGCCTTCCATGCGGTGTAACACAATGCAGTGAAAAAAAGAATACTGAAGCTCTTTATATAAAAATATAATTATTTCTACACTGTATTACTGAAAGAGCAGAAAAGCATGTGAAACACGCTTCCCTTCATGTACAAAGGGGAGAAAACATGCCATGTACTATAGTGTATGTATGACATCTGTATTTCCTTACAGGTGCATAATTATCTCTGTGGATAGTAACTGAATGGCTGGGGTCAGCCATGGGGAGGGGGGATTCACTATCCTTTTATTGTTCTCTTCTCTGGTGGCTTAATGTTTGTCTTTTGAAAATTATTGTTACATTAAGGTAACATAGGTTTATAACATTCTATGAGTCAGAGATGTAAGCTCACCACCTTCGGTGCTGTTACCCTCTCACACCTCCCACCAAGACACCCAGAGTCCTTGGCCATAGTCCATCGCGCTCCCTCCCCATTTTGTTCTCTCCCTTCTCTCACACACACCCCCTGCCCCTTGCTGACAGCCTCCATTCTACAGATTTCTAGGGTTTGTTTTGGTTTGGTTTCATCTACCTTTTGCTCTGTTTCTCTACAGTCCACATGTAAGTGCCACCATCCAGTATTTGTTTCTGATTTATGTCATTTAGCATCACCCTCTCCAATTTCATTCATGTTGTTTCAAAATACAAAGAACTTATATTTTTGATAGCCTAGTATAGACCACATCTTCCTATCCAGTCATCTATCTTTGGGCACTTTATTTTAAATATTAAAGTAGATGAAGTGTGATATAGTAAAACTTTTTAAACATTGAAATAAAGTGAGAAAGAATTGTTATCTAAAAATTATCAAATAAAAAAATTCTAAAACAAAACCACTAAGAATCCTGTTTTCATGCCCCCCCACCTTACTCCTGATTTTCTGAAACTGTATTGTTGTAAAGTAGATTTTCCTACCTGAGCTTTGACTGTACACTTTCTGGTATCAGGTCAGAGTAGAAAAATTAACCTGAGTTTATTTTTTTCTCTAATGTGAACAAAATCAGTCTTACCGTCATTTATAGTAATACTAGTGAGATCCATAATGTTATCAGGAAGTTCTTGGAGCAATTTGCACCATTTATATTTGGGTTTTCCCCACTGAGATCTGCCACTTGTGATACTAATTGAACTGGAAAAGAGAGAGAAGAGGACAGGAAGTGGGTGTTTCTTGCACCTGCTTTTTTGGGCAGTAGGTATAAACAGACAAAGCCTCAGGATGGGGCATCATAATGGCCAGCGACCAAGGATCCACCAGAGGTGTTCCTGCAGTGGACATGACACTGACCCTTCCCTCCTTTTCCCTTGTACCCCGACCTGAAGGGAGCACCGCTGTAGAACGTGCTCTCTATCTCAGCATCTTGATTTAGTCAAGGCAATTAGTATAGCACCCTCTGTAGCTTATTGGCCATCATCATCTACCCTCCCCTTTGCTTCATCCAGTTTCACCCAGTTCAAGCAGGAACACACTTATTGAGTTCCCACTGTATTCTAAGGCTGATCATACGCAGTACAGGCAATCTGGTCAGGGACTTGGCCTGGAGGAGATTGGGACTTAGTGGTTTGAGACTGCAAGTGTGATGGACCTCATCAGGCAAGCTGTAAGGTGAAAGACCAGGATACCCATCAAACCACCAAGCAAGGAAAACTTCTTTGCAACTTTTGAGCTGTGCTGTGCTCTGAATGGGCAGAGAACAAAGAGCAAACACAGGGGAGACATCAGGGAAACATCCCATGGTTCCAGAACACAGATGCCCTTTGGGGCTGCCCCACGCAGTAAGGGAGCCGGCAGGTCTTCAGTACTTGAGTTTGGGTTTGATTGATGGGGAAAAGTCACTGACGGCAAAGTGTATTTGGGGGTGGCTGACAGCCAGCAGGCAGGATTGCACGCTAATAGCAGCGAAGAGGCTGTAAGGACCGGCCCGGGGCGGGGCGGGCACGGGGCGGCTGGAAAGGAAAAGCTAGATGTGAGCCCTGACTGTGACCTTAAAAGCTGCGGGACTTGCTTGCCGACTACAAGTAGGGAGGAAGTGGTAGGACACAGTCCAAGAGGTCACCTTCCAAATGCCAGCTTTTAAGCCTCTGTCAAAACTGCTGCCTCTCTGGGCTACCACTTAAGTTAATGGCATAAACCATGAACAGCCAAGAATAAGAAAAAGGGGTTGCTGATTTTAAAAAGGAAAATGATCAAGCCAACAATAAAAGAGTGATTTCGTAAATTATTGTGGCCGTCCATAGGGTAGCTTTGGAGGCGGTTGTTCAAAATGGTCATTACTGAAGCTGAATATATAACATGGAAAATGTTTGGTAAAGCGTGGAGAGGAAGGGTCAATTACATGATTGCTGGGAGGACAGTAATTACCACTACAGAAAACATGAAGACAGACAGGAAAGAGCTCGAAAGAGAACGAGGCTGATCTAAAAGGAGCTGTGCTCAGGTGGCGGGGATGGTGGGTGACTTGTTTCTTTTGTGTTCTTGACATTATTTTCTGCAGAGTATTTCTGTGGCCTGTGCATACTTCAGCAGGTCTGAAGGCTAAAGAAAGGCAGCCCAAGAGGTGGAAGGGGAGGCCTGTTCACACACAGCAGCATGTCCCCAGCGCAGCAAATCTATGTGTGTGAGCTAGCGATTAGAAGTTGGCTGGGCATACCAGGGCCTCGTAGCATTTCTTGCCTCATTTTTGATGCATCTGGTTTGGGCGGTCTCGGTAGGGTTGGTTGAGAGCCATTTATACGTCCCTTTGAATGTAGAGGCTGTTTCATCGGCTTTGCACTTTCCCGGCTCTGTAGAGAAAATGCATGCACCTTTTAAAGGGCAAAAGGCACTTAAAAGTATCAAGAACATCCATTACGGCCCATCAGTTATTACCTTTCACATAAACAACAGCGAGTAACAGAGGAAACTTTTTCTGCCACTCTTCACCAAAAAGAGCATTAAATGGAGGGTTTTTTTCTCCAAGTCTCCCAGTACAACTTCACATTTAGTCCTGTTCATTCAAACCACCAGTTAACAGGACAGATTTTCACTTTTGTATTTGTTTTTTAAAGTGATACATATGCATCACGAAAATATGCATTGAAGCCACACTGGGGTGTAGAGCAAAAACCCAGTGCAGACTGCGGTGACCCCTCAGGTACCCCTGGGAAGAGGTGAGCTTCCACAATGGGAGAAAGGCTGGCGTGTCTTTCTGAACGGTTTCTCCTTGCTGGGCTCGGGTGGAAATGGCTTTAGCCAACGCAGCTCATCTGCCGCCACCCATAGGCTCAGAGAGTTCTGTTCTCACGTTAGTGCTGAGGCCAGGTCTGGCTGCCCAGTGCTGTCACAACAAAGGAGATGGGACCTGGGCCAGGTCTGTGTGATAAGCTTTTGCCAGGCACTGGGGGTACCTGCCTGACTCTGGAGCCCATTTCCTCAGGGGCTGATAGAGCAGCCCCGCATCCCAGTCTCCTCTCTGGATGAAGAGCCACCCGCCTTGCTCCCCTCCCTCTCAGGAAGTGATCGCTAGTGTCCTGTGTGTGGTGGCCTCTGCCTGGGGCCCCCACACATTCGTGCCTTTCCGCTCATGCTCACCCTTCCACTCTCGCCACCTGCCCTCTGCCGTTTCATCCAACTGTTGCCAAGGCTGGGCCTTCTAATGTCTCGTGCGTTATCCCAGTTCTCTCAGAGAGCTTTGACCTCGCTCTTCTGGGGACAAGAAAGTAAAGCAGCAGCAATGGGAGGGAGAGGAGTGATGTGACTCTCCTTTACCACTGAAACCTTGCCGGTGTGAACAGACAATGCCCTCAAGAGAGATTCTGGACTGTCCCCAGTCAATTCCTAAGATGAACAGACTGAGTGACTCCATCAATACATTAGCCAGGACCCGTTGGGCAGCTATTGCACGTAATGAGGAAGCTCTCCAGGTCTCTGGGTATTTACGCAAGAGAGAACATTCTCCTACTCCACTGATGGACCACTGCGGATTTCCAGAGCTGAGTGGGATCTCTGATAACCCCTGTGGCACTGTTATTTCATAAACTCTTTAAGGTGCAAAGGTTGTCAGAGCAGATGGGCACTTAGCACGTGGAAAGCAGGGTAGACAGCCTCTCTCCCCTGTGAACTCAGGACCTCTTATACTCAGGGGCAAGATCTCATAAGAAAATACCAGCACCCTGTCCCATTTACCTAGTTTTTCAACTGCAACATGTTCAGACCTTATTGATAATGTCAGCTGATCTTGTGTGAAGTTGCCATGTATTTTACTTTTGATCTTGCTAATTAATTCGGTGGATGGTAAAGAAGAGTTGGCCTTAATGATGACCTGACAAACACACCTGAAATGCAAAGCAAAAAAAAAAGAGAGAGAGAGAGAGAGATTTTGTGGTTAAGTCAACAGAGTACAACCTGGCCTGTGATGCTGAAATTCTGTAGAGATGACTTACTTGGTAATCCAAAAATAGCAAACATTTTATAGTTATATAATGGCGAATCTTAAGAAATGATGGAAGACAGCATATTGAAATCTTGTGATAAATTTTCTTGTATCCAAGTCAAAACCTATTTTCACAAGGATGGTCAGCAAACTTTGCATTTGGTTGAAACTGACTAGCCTTACAATTTCTCCAGAAGTTTGTGATAATCAATGGAGAAAAAAATACTCAGAATTTATTATTTCAAAGAATACCTTTTATCCTTCCAGTCTCTGATTTACCCATCATTTTACTGAAGCGAGGCAAGTAGGCTCATGTTCAATTGTCTTACAAAGATGTGTTCTGCCTGGGCCTCCCTGGTGGCACAAGGGGTTAAAGTGCAGCACTATGAAGCGATCCACAGCCACTACAGCACAAGTTCAATCCCTGGTCAGGGAGTGACCCACATGGCCCAGCAGTCCTCTCCTGACCAGGCCACTGCTCCCCTCAGCAGTGTATTTCAGTTGACCAGTCGGTTCTGCTCCCTACTCTGTCTCTGGTGAATCCTCTCAAATCCCCACATCTAGCCTGTACCCCAGTTCTTGTATGCACAAATAAATAAGTCTTAAAAAGGGGGGGGCCGGAATTATTACGGGATTATGGTGATGGCACACGGGTGACTTGGTGATGGGAAACCGCGGGGATTACAATTGAGATGGAAAAAAAAATGTACAAAATGATGTAAAAATAAACTGTTGTAAAAAAAAAAAGGGGGGCCTCCCTGGTGGCGCAGTGGGTTAAAGCACAGCACTAAGAAGCTAAAGCCACTTCCGCATGAGTTCGATACCCGCCTGCCTCGGAGGTGACCCACATGGTGCAGCAGACCTCTCCTGACCTACCTGCTGCTCCCCTCAGCAGCGTACCTCAACGATCTGTCTGTTCTGCTCCCCACTCTGTCTCTGAGTTCTTTCACTGCCCCTGCACCTCTGCCCTGTACCCCAGTTCTATATAAATAGTAAGTTTATTTAGAAAATAAATAAATCTTAAAAAATTAAAAAAAATAAAGACGTGTTCTGCCAAAGGTCCATCTCTGCTCTAGCGGTAATGATAACGACAGTGGGTAACATTTGTACAGCTCTTGCTCCAAATGCTTTGGTTCATGTCATTGTCACAGCAACCTCCCGGGGTAGGCTATTATCACTCCCATTTTACAGATGAGAAAACTGAGTCTTGGAAGACGGTGTTTCCCAAGGTCACAACCTGGTATTTCATTTCTGATTATTCTGGCCCGTGAAAGATATGTTATGAAGAATAAGGTGGTCCTTGACCTCACCCTCTATAGCAAGGTCCGCATACATTGGACATTCTAGGACCGAGCACATAACAGATCCACAAACTTATCTAAACCCTCCCTCACTGGCATTTATTGATATATCTTTTTGAACAACACAATTCTCATGTGTCCTCATTGCTGTTAAAAGTGAGATGTGAGCCCTCCCTGGTGGCTCAACCGGTTAAAACCAGCACTATGAAGCTGCTGGCAGCCACTGCAGCATGAGTTCAGTCCCCGCCCAGGGAGCTGACCCACATGGTGCAGCAGACCTCTCCTGACCCGCCCGCTGCCCTCCTCAGCAGTAGACTTCAGTCCATCTGCCTATTTTGCTCCCCACTCTGTCTCTGGTGGATCCTTTCACCCCACCCCTGCATCTCTGGCCTGTACCCCAGTTCCTTGTATGCATAAATAAATAAATCTTTTTTTTTTTAAGTGAGAAGCACCTGCATTCACTGCACATTTGCTCTCTGCCCTGGCTCAGCCATACTCCCACCGCCCTCATCCGCATTTGGTGAAATCTCTGCTCATGCCTCCCATTCCAGTCACAGCCTTGTTTTTCAGCTCTCATCTTTCGTCCCGAGACGACTCGTCTTCCTTCTGCACCTCCTCTTGCTCTGAGAGACCCCTGGCGCCCTGAACATTCCAGGTCTTTCCCACAGACCCTGCACTAGCTCTGTGTCCTCCGTGACTTGCCTCAGGCCGGCCAACAGTCGTTGGTGATTGGGAGGAACAGAGCCGTGAGTCTGAACAAGACCCAGGCTGCTTTCCAAGTTTTGCTTTTTTTTTTTTTTTTCAGTTTGCCTGCTCGGTATTTTGTGAACTTTTTTTTTGATGACAACAAACACTTTATTCCCCCATCCCCAAATTATGACCACTTTGGACCCCATTTTCTCTTCACTACAAAGAGGCAGCAGGCAGGCTGCTAGACTGTGCCGTGACCAACTGAAACAACTTATTTCATGAAGGCAACAGCCCAATTACAGCATCTGTAAAATAACCACCGGCGCTTTGATCTCCTCTGACCAACAGGCTGCACATACAGAATTAAATGGAAGGAAAATCAGAACCAAATGTACCAGCTATGAATAAACTCAGCTCCTACCTGTGTAGTACCCGGGAAATTACAGCCATTTCTTGCCTTTCTTTCTGTTTCAAATAATGCAAAAGAAAAGAATTAGAATCACAAAAAAATATTTAAACAAACGTCACAATCAAGTACAGGAGTTATCGTTAATAAAGACAATCGCAATTATACTTCACTTTTGTGTGACCCATTACTTTATGCAGATCACCTTAAAAAAAATCAGTGCTTATAGTCCGCCTACCATCCCTGTAGGGCCACAGGAGGATTGCACCCAGCATCACACTGCTGAAGAATACGGACGTAGGAGAGAAACTGAAGCCTTCTGGATCTGGATTCTAACAACGGTAAGCACGTCCAAGCATTTCTATGCTCTCTACCCTGTGCTAAGAAATCCCTGTACATGGTCCCATTCCACCTCTCACAGGCGCTGTGCAGAATGGTGCTACTGTTAGTGCCATTTAACAGATGAGGAAGCAGGCACAGAGAGGTTCATGAAGTCGCCCAAGGTCTCACAGCAAGGTGATGGAAAAGCAGGGATTCCAACCGAGGTTTGCTCTTGCCACATTATTGCCGCAAGGACTTTACCTCCATTATTTGAGAAGAATCTAAATTATGGCATGTTATCTCAAATGTATTAAATTTTAAAAGTCTGGCTCAGGTATTTACAGAAAGCATCTGAAAGGATGACAGATAACTTGCAAAATATTCTAGATGCGATTGTATCTTGGATAGCCAAAAGAATTAGCTCATAAATACCTTAAAAGCTCTGTGCTCACTAATCATTTCTAAATCAAAATTTGAAACTTTAAAGCACAGGGATAAATACTGACAATTGGGGCCAGCATGATGGGAGGCAAATTTATCTTACTTTGATTTTGAATCTGTACAAACAGAGGATATAGTTATTATGTGAATGCCAGTCTTGCAAACAATGTGTCACTCTTGGAAGAACTAGGGATTTTGCAAGAGGTCTACAACCAAGACTTTCCACATACCATTTATAATCCCTAAGTCATTCCGCGTTCTCACAGCCCACAAAATGTGCCTAAAAAAACTGTGAAGTAGGCCTCCCTGGTGGCGCAGGGGTTAAAGTCTCAGCGCTATCAAGCTACCACCAGCCACTGCAGCCTGATTTCAAGCTGGCCAGCGAGGTGGCCCACATGGCGCAGCAGACCACTCCTGTCCTACCTGCTGCTCCCCTCAGCACTGTACTTGGTCACTCTCCCTATTCTGTTCCCCACTCTGTCTCTGGTGAATCCTCTCACACCCCCACACCTCTGGTCTACACCCCAGTTCATGTATGCATAAACAAATAAAAATAAATCTTTTTAACCCCTGCTAAGACAACTGAAATGAAAAATGCACAACATGAAGAATAATGTAAAAACATAATAAAAAACGTGCTAAGTAGTTCAGAAAAGCAGACAGTAAATGGTGGAAAGGGGCCTTGCTTTGGTGAAAGGTAGATTTGGGCCTTCTCAGATGACTTTACTGTCGATACTCATGTTGACCCTCAACAATGAAGGCCCGAAATGTATAGATGTCTGCAGTGCAGTTGTTACAGAGGCCCCTCCATGGCCGGGAGGGGCCATTCTCCCCCGCCCCCCGTTGTAAGTGATCACTTGGGCTACAGGCACCAGTGTGCCATGAAAGGGGCTTCTTGATCAGGGAGCTCCTGGAGCTTGGGGCAGAGCTGGGCACAGGGGGAACACAACGGGAGAGACAGGTGTGTTCTTTGAGGACTCTTGCTTTGACTTGCACCCAGGGACTTGGTGGGGCTTGGGAGACGTGTGCAGGAAAGACACACACAGATGGAAGCCCCGGCGAGAGGCTGTTCCTAGTCCTGGCCAGAGACCATGCCAGCTGCGATCTTGACTTGTGCTAGGATTTTGCGTTTTCTTCTCCTTTTGTCCTCATTTCCTGGACCTGCCTTACCCCTTTCTCACTGTGCCCTAGCCAGAAGGTGCCGGAGACTTGTGCCAAGGTTGTGGGTCTGCTTAAGGCTGACTCTGTTTGGCTGGACATTTGTCCATGAGGGGAGAGGTAATTTTGAGGGTTTTATTGGGAAACTATTCATAGGAATAGCCTTTCTTCTCTCTCTTTCTCTCCCTCTCTAAATAAACACACACACTGATTCTACCACACTAAGTGTCTGTTTTTTTTTGTCTTTGTGCTGCAGATGGCAGAATCCCTGTTACGGCATGCAACCCCATGCACCCAACAGTTTGAGATTCCTGGGTGCCCCTCGGTCACTTCAAAAAAGAAAAAGAATAAGAACATAAAGGCAGAGGGTGAATTTCTTGGTAGGTTCTTGCCCAGATCCCAAAGAAAGTAATGTAATTTGACCCTCGATTATCAGAATGAAGCCTTGCCTCATACCATACCTGTGGGTAGAAGTTATTTACTTAAATCTAACCAGGTAAAGGATGGGTTACAAGCAGGTTTGTTTTGAAAAATTACTTACAAAAGTTCCTTCCCTGTTTATTTCTTCCTCAAGAGTGTTTCTGTATAAAAAGCATCAAAAGTTATAGAAAATGAAACAAAGCAGCAACGCTCTGGGGACATAAGTTCTGGGAGAGACAAACCCAAGAACAGAACAGTAGAATTCCCCCAACTAGAAATTATTATTATTATATTTTAAGATAAATGACCAGGAATACAGTGGCTAGGCTGAATGTGAGGGTGATGCTTTTCGACTGCTTCGTTTTTTTAAGGACTTGCCAGCCATTCTCCAAAGTGAACTGTGCATTTCTCATCCTCACCAGCAACTTGTGTGTGTGCAAATCACTGCTCATCCTCACTAGCATTTGGCTTCATCACTACTTTTACTTTAGTTTTCCTGATAGTGTTTATTTAGATTACAGTGATGGCTAATGGTGAGGCTCTTCGTATGTGTTTATTTGCCATAGAGATATATTCTTCTGTAACACATTTCTCATAGTGTTTGCCCATGTCCTAACTGGGCTACTTTTGTGTTATGAAGCTTTTAAAGTTCTTTGCATATTTGAGATCCCGGTTTTTTGTCGGATCTGTAATTCCAGCGATTTTCTCTAGCCTATACCTTAACTTTTCAAAGCATATGCATATACGAAGGAGTAAAAATGTAAACCCAAAGTTATATAGACACATAAACAACTGATAGATCGATAAATAAATAAATATACATGAGATCTTTTATACCACAAAATAAAACTTTTATAATATAAATAGACATTTCCCAATTTTGGAGGCCATGGACATTTCTAGGCTACTGTTTGAGTTTTACATTTTTCTTTTCTTTTAGCTGGAAGAGACAGTGAATTTTTGGCACTCACTAGTAAAATTATTATATAAATGTCATATAATCACAGCATTTGGGTCTTAGAATCATTACCAATCCTGGCTTTTAGATTTCTTTCTTTCTCCTCTCGAATTGTATTGACTGCCAATTGTTTGCATAACTATATAATTTAGGGAGAACAAATTCATGCCTCCATTTGTATGCATGTTCCACTCACCCTCCACCAAGCCTCCGGTGCCAGCATCCTCTCATGTCCCCTTCCCCTACTCCTTCCTCCCTGCCCTCATCCTTTCTGGTAACAAGTATATTTTTTCCAGAGCCTAAAAATTATTCTTGTTTTTTTTTTTGCCAATTAGTTTTCTCTGGTTATTTATATTCTACAAATGAATGAAGCCATCCAGTAATATTAGAACTCCTAGGAGATGCTTCAAAAGAACGTGGTCATTATTTGCATATCAAAATGGTGGTCAGTCGTTGAGCAATCCTGCCTCCAAGAGTCTAACCCAGAAAAATACCAGCAAGAGTGTACAAAAATTATAGCTACGGGCCCTCCCTGGTGGCGCAGCGGGTTAAAGCACAGCTAAAGCCACTTCAGCCTGAGTTCAATCCCCAGCCCCGGAGGTGACCCACATGGCGTGGCAGACCTCTCCTGACCACCATGCTCCCCTCAGCAGTGTACTTCGTCAATCTGCTTGTTCTGCTCCCCACTCTGTCTCTGGTGAATCCTCTCACAGCCCCTGCACCTCTGGGTTTTATCCCAGTTCTGTGTGCATAAATAAATAAATCTTTTAAAAATATATAGCTACATGAGTGTAACTAATTAAGCCATCATCCATCAGCAGGTAACTGGATGAATAGACCATGGACACCCCTGCTAAAGAATTCTATATAGTCGTTAAAATGAATAAGCCAAACCTGTATGTGTTGGCCTGCAAAGATGTACATGTTGTATTCTAAAGCAAGAAAAGAAAAGTCATAAAATAGCTTGTAGAGTAAGATCACCTTCTCTATAAATGCATAGCAACAAATCCAGAGCACATTGGAAGTGAGCTGTTAATCAGAGTTCTGGGAGGAGGTGGAGGAAGGCAGGTCTAGAGATGTTTGCTCTCTGTGTTATAAATTCCTGCAAACCTCCAAGATTTTATACTGTTCACACACATTACTTTTGTGATAAGGAAAAATAGTAAGCACAATTTTTAAAGAATGGTGTGTACCCCAGACCTTCCCTATTTTAATAACTTACATGGATTTACTCCTGTTACTTCCTATGAACATTCTGGAACCTATTTATCTGAACATATAAAAGAAAACAAAATCTCAAGATATGGAAGATAGTCATATTTAATGCTTCAAAAGTCAGTTAGCCATGGAACACCAGAGTCAGGCTGATTTTTCAAAGAAATTATTTTGAATATTTCTTTTCTTTTTTTTTTAAGATTTATTTATTTGTGCATACGGAAGTGGGGTACAGGCCAGAGGCTCAGGGGCGGTTAGAGGCTTCACCAGAGACAGAGTGGGGAGCAGAACAGGCAGATTGATGAAGTACACTGCTGAGGGGAGCAGCGGGCGGGTCAGGAGAGGTCTGCCGCGCCATGTGGTCACCTCCAGAGGCAGGCGGGAATCAAACTCATGCGGAAGCGGCTTTAGATTCTCAGTGCTGTGCTTTAACCCGCTGCACCACAAGGGAGGGCCTATTTTGAATATTTCTTAAACAGAAGACTATGACATGTGCAGGGTAAGAGCAGAGGAAATATGGCTTAAATGGCCCATCGCCCTTGATGCTGCTGGCCCATGGTCTCCTTGATACTGCTCAGTGCCTGACGACTTTACCACCGGTGACCTCCCCTAACTCGTAGCCTGAACAAGTCTTGAACTTGCCCCCATTCCTCACTTTAAATATTTCAAGTTTCCATTGGAATTTCTAATTCCTGAAAGTGCATTATCCAAAAAGTAAAAGGCCTTCTAAAGCATTGACCATCATTAGCCTTAAGGGGTGATTTTTTTCTAAGTCCAGAAACAGCATTTTTAAGTTGATAAGCGCATTGGATGTAACTTAGCCCAATTCTGCTGTTTCCCTTATTAGGTTCTTCTGATTTGTTCTCCCAGTGACTTAACAGCCCACAGCAATGATACATATTTCTTCCTCGTTCTGAAGATACCCTACATCCAGAAGGGAAGATGCAACTCAAAATACAACAGCCCTTAAATCGCAGGCAACAGCAATGGTACAAACAAAATCAAAACAGGATGGTGGCAAACCAATTGGTAGTGGATCCGAGGGACGTTTGGGGCATCCAGGGGAGGTGCGTGGTGAGCTAAACAGCTGCTGAGGTAAGAAACTGTGCATCTGAAACCTATATAGTGTGGTAAACTAATGTTACCTCAGTGAAAAGAAGAAGAAAAGAAAAACCTGAACAGGTGGAATCTCAGAAGGTTCTCAAACTGCCCTTCAAACCCAGCAAATGACATTAGCATACCTGCTTTTAATTTGAACAGCCAAATTAGCAAGAGCAAATTCACTGTCCTGAAATATAGAATTCAACTATAAAAGACAAAAGAAGATTAGTTTTAGTATTCCGTTCCTCTGTTTTAACCAGCAGTTACCTGAGATGATGTCATCGTTAAGCCACATTCATTATTTCAGTTGCTCCACCATTTCCATCTGCTCCACTCAGTTTTTTAATTTGCATTTTACCTACTTTATGGGATGAATTGTGTCCCCACCTCCAAATTTATCTATTGAAGCCAAAATCCCCAATGTAGACTGTATTGTGAGATGGGACCTCTAGGGAGGTAATTCCAGTTAAATGAGGTGAGGGAGCAAGGCCTTAACTGAATAGGACAGATGTACTTATAAGAGAGAGAGATGTTAGACACCTCACCTCCCCCTCCCAGTGAATTTGACCCCACCACCACCATTTGCAAATACAGAAAAGGCCATTTGAGAACATGTGAAGACATAACATGGAGAGAAGGAGGCATCTGTAAGTCATGGAGAGATTTCACTAGAAACCAATCTTACCAACACCTTCACCTCAGACTTCCAACCTCCAAAACTGAGAAATTAAATATCTGATGTTTAGATCTCCAAGGTGTGCTGTTTTGTTATGGCAGCCTAAGCGGACAAATACACCCACCATTTTCAGGCAGTTAGAATCATGTCACTTATACTTGCAAACAAATACTGATGGACAGGATGGGAAACAGCCAAGATCAACAGCTGTCAACGGGTGAAGTCGGTGTCTTCTACCTGGAGAACCACTTAGTGATGACATTTAAGTGGCTTTTGATACAGCAATTCCAACTCTAGGAATTTATCTTATACATATGTTGAAATAACCCCCCACACACACACACTCACACACATTTTTTGCAAGGGCATTCTTACGAACATTGCCTCAAAATAAATGAAAAAAAAACAGACACAGCCGAAGTGTGCAACAATGGATAGACTGTTCACCTGGATTTAGAGACAAAACACTACGTTATAACCATCTAGTGAAATCTTAGACAACTGTTCAATTGTGTGAGGCAGATCTATATCGACCAGTATGAATATGCTCAAAGATAAATAGTTATAGGTGCGGGAGTGAGTTGTAGAACAGCATAATTTTTATGGTTCCAATGATTCCTTTGAAAGAATACATATGCATCAATATTATTATATTTATCATGCAAAAATCTAAAAGATTAAACCTCAAACTCTTAAGAGAAGATAGTACTAGGAGTAGTATTAGCGAGACCATTTACTTTCTGGCTTTCAGATTTTGGTATGTATTAGTCTTAGAGTATGCTTTAATCTTATTATAGGAGAATGTAATGGTAAATAAACATTTGCTGTGTAGGAGGGAGGAAAGAATTAAAGAAAACAAAAATAAAATACAATTGCATAGATTTTGTTATCACTGCTTTTCTACTTTCCCCAAATAAGAAAACTGGCAAAGAATTGGAATTTGTGTCAGTGGAGGAAAATGTACAGTTCTAAACAAATTAAAATAATAACATTCCATAAAAGCTTTCAGCAGTGGCACGGTAAAAGGAGACCAGCATGTACCCCTACAGTTCTGCTTGTACAGTGGAGAGATTTGCAGCTAAGGAACACATTCCAGGTAGAAAATAGTAAAGCCTAGTTTTAATCTACTCAGTATTTGTTATATGCATATATACATTCACAATTCTTATTTTACTATAAATATTCAAATGATTATTTTACCCAATTTTCTGCAAATTCTTCTACAACACTGGTAATAAGGATACTTGACTCTTCATCAAAGACAGAGAAGCTCATTTTAATATTGTAGAAGGAAACTGTAATTAAAAGTAAATAGATTTAATTCATCTATGTTATTCAAGAAATTTAGCTTCCATAAATTTAGTCAAATATGCTCTTTACTTTACAGAAACCAAACAGGGGGGCTCCCTGGTGGAACAGGGGTTAAGTCTCAGCACTCTGAAGCTATAAGCTGCCACTGAAGCACAATTTAATCCCTGGCCAGGGAGCTGACCCACATGGCACAGCAGATCTCTCCTGTCCCACCAGCTGCTCTCCTCAGAAGTATATTTCAATAGATCTGCCTGTTCTGCTCCCCATCCTGTCTCTGGTGAATCCTCTCACTCTCCCCCTCCCCCCACACCTCTGGTCTACACCCCAGCTCTTGTATGCACAAATAAATAAAATAAATCTTTTAAAGAAACCAAACAACAAAGTCACATTCTTATACTTTGCTTAATTTAACTCCAAGGTCAAGATGTAACACCATTATGCATATGGAACAATCTCAACACACTGGGGCACAAAGCAAGTGTCAGTAATAAATTTATGAAGATTAAGACCATTTCAAGTATCTTCACTGACCACAATGTCATGAAACTAGAAATTAACCCCAGAAAGAAAACAAGAAGAAGCTCAAAGACATGGAGACTAACCCACATGCTACTGAATGACTTTTGGATTAATGCAGAAATCAAAGGAGAAATTTTAAAACACTTGGAAACTAATGAAAATAAAGACACATGGTATTAGAACTTATGGGATGAAGCAAAGACAGAGCTAAAGGACAGAGCAAGAAAACACTTTATGCCTTAAGGACCTAGAAAAATATCAGCAAATGAAACCAAAACCCACGGAAGAAAATAATATAAATTAGAGCAGAAATAAACGAAGTTAAGCTGAAAAGTACACAAAAGATAAATGTAACCAATAACTGGTTCTTTGAAACATTAAATAAAATAGACAGTGAAGGTGGCACAACCCCAGACATCAAATTACACTCAAAACTATAGTGATTAAAACAGTATGGTATTAGAATAAAGATAGATACACTGATCGATGGAATAGAATTGAGAGCTGAGAAATAAACCCACACTTATCTGGGCAGCTTATCTATGACAGAGGAGCCAAGAATATACCCTGGAAAAAGGAGTCTTTTCAGTAAATAGTGTTAGACAACTGGACCATATACAAAAGAATGAAATTAGACCACTATCTCACACAATATACAAAAATTAACTAAAAGTGTATTAAAGGGCCCTCCCTGGTGGCGCAGCAGGTTGGAGCACAGCACAGAGAGGTTTAGACCACTTCCGCATGAGTTCGATCCTCGCCTGCCCCTGGAGGTGACCACATGGCGTGGCAGACCTCTCCTGACCCACCCGCTGCTCCCCTCAGCAGTGTGCTTCGTCGATCTGCCTGTTCTGCACCCCGCTCTGTCTCTGGTGAATCCTCTCACCCTCTGCATCTCTGGCCTGTACCCCAGTTCTGTATGAATAAATAAATTTTTTTAAAAATTATTAAAAAAATGTGTATTAAAGACTTGGCTGTAAGACCTATAGCTATAACATAGGTAGAAAAAAATATAGGCAAACACTTTGCAATATTGTTTTTAGTGATGCATCAGGGAACTGGACTCCAACAGCAAGGGAAACAAAAACAAAAATAAATAAAATGGACTAAAATTAAAAGTTTCTGCACAGCAAAAGAAACTGTTATAAAAATGAAAAAATAGCTTGCATGATGGGAAAAATTATTAACACATCACACATCTGACAAAGGGCTAAAATCCAAGCTCTACAAAGAATTCATGCAACTCAACAGGAAAACAAATAGCCCCATTTAAAAATGGGTAGAATAACTAAATAGACACTTCTCCAAAAAAGATATAAAAGTGCTCCACAGGCACGTGAAATAATGGTCATCATCACTTGCCACCAGGGAAATACAAATCAAAATCACAATGAAAGATTATGTAACTTTTGTGGGAATGGCCCATGTCAAAAAAAAAAAAAAAAAAAAGACCAGAAACACAGTGTTTGTTGAGGGTGTAGACAAAAGGGAACTCTTGTACACTGGTCCAACCCCTATGGAAACCAGTACGGAAGTTTCTCAAAATACTAAAAAATAGACGTACTGTACAACCCAGCAATCTCACTCTGGGAATCTACCCCAAAACATTTGAAGGGCTACATGAACTTCTATCTTCATCACAGTTCTATTTACTACAATAGCCAAGTTTTGGACACACCCCAAGTGTCCAAAAGCAGATGGATGGATTAGGAAGATATGGCATATATACACAATGGAATACTACTCAGCTATAAAAACATGAAATCTTTCCAAACTGAGCATTATCTCACAAGATCATTTTCACTGAGAAAATATTATTTCTGCCTATGACTTTTTTCTACTTCAGATTTTTTTCATTTATTTCCCTCTTTCTCTTGTCGATTCTATCAAATTTCAATTTTATAATGTTATTAGCCAAACGAACATCCATCATTTGAACAATATGGAAGCTAAATACTCCCTGGCTGAGGATAAACATCCCTAGCTAATTAGAAGTGGGGAATGGAGAAGACTGAGACCTGTATAAGAAAAATTTTTACAGGCTAAAATATATTCTGGTGTTGGTCAACATGTGGGATTTGAGGCCATAGAATCCTCTTACCGAGAAGTGGGTGAGTTTCCCGACCCATGTTCACTGTGGCACAGCCAGTGTCAGAGCATCAGTAACAAAACAGATGGGGAGGGGGCTTTAAAATCTCACGTTGAGTGAAAAGACATATTTGAAACATACTTCAACAAAACAAAAATAAGCAAGAAAACTAGGGAATCTTGTATTTGAACAATGTATACCCTGTACCCACTGTCTGAAGGAAAAAAGAAACACCAGTACCCCCTCTTAATCCTTTTCTGCCTTTAAGAACTGGCCATCTCTGAGAACACATGGCTTGTTGTACATGCATTCTGTTACTGACGCACTGCACAACTTACAAAACATACCTGTGGATTCAGCTGCAACAGGTGAAGTCAATGTTTCTGTAGATAGAAAAGAGGGTCTGGGGTTTAGCCAGGTTGGAAGAGAGGAAGAAACTAGTGAAGAAATAGTTGCTGTAGAAGGATGTGTCACTCCAGTGGATATGTGTAGAAATGAGACTCCAGTAGCCAGGGGTGTAGTGGTGGTGATATTTAGAAGGGAGTCCAGTGTCGGCTTAGAAAGAACTAAAGTAGGGGATACTGATGCGACTGGGATTCTGCTCCATGCAGAGGTTATTGTAGGGTTAGTTAGAGGCATGGAACCAATAGGTGGGGTGTGATCAGTTGTAGGAGGTGACTTACTCATTATGCTAAAGGATGGAGGTTGAGACACTGTCCTTGAGTTGATAGCCACAGTAGCTCTGGAAGATGCCTCAGAAGACTTGTCATCTGTAATTCTTATAGAGATGGTGGGAGAAGTTAGGAAGCCAGTAGTGATGCCTCCCACTGCAGATGTAGGAGTGGTTTTGGTAAGTATGGTGCTTACAGCAAAAGGTGGTGTTTTGAAATTAGTCAGCGGGTGTGTGGACATCATGTCAGGAGTCAGAAATGTGGATTTGGACACCTCTACTGTAGAGGAAGTTGTAATGTGAGGTGTATTGGATTTAGTTGCCAGAGGAGAACCTGTAGGAAGACTAGATAAGATCCAGTTTAGTAAGGGTGAAGTAGCGGTCTTTGAGGTCAGAGATGCAGAAGGATTTGATGGGAGTGTGATTCCAAGAGTTCCGGATGTGTTAGTCTCCTCAAATGTGTGCTTAATGTCAGTCAAAGTAGTAGGGACAGATCTTAAAGACATTGATAATGAAGGGTTCTTGGATATTCCCAAGGTAGGAAGAATTCCTGATGAGGAAATTGATGACATTTCCATAACGTCTCCAGATACAAGACTAGACTGAGAGGCAGTAAATTTTGTCAAAGACTCAGGAAAAGGATATGAAGTTTCTGTTTCCATCTTGTTGAGTGTAGGCATATGAGTAGTGGTAGAAATCAGAAATTGGTTTTCTTTAGCTGTGGGTGTGTTCCAATAAGTCATAAACAGAGACTGGGTATTACTAGATGTTGTTCTTAATCCCAGAGCTGGCAATTCCACCATTTGGGATGTAGGAGGAAGCAAAGTCTTCCCCTCAGCTTTGGTACTATGAGGGGAAGAAAGAGATGATGTCAAAGAGGATGGAGTTGCATTGGATGGAGTCCATGGAGGATATGAAACAGGGGTATTCACAGAAGCAGAGCTTTTTGTTAGTTCAGTTGTCAAAGTATTTTCTGACAAGGAAGTCATCTTTTCTGTATTTGAAGAATAGTAAATAGTGGCTTTTGCACTTGTGGGTCCACGAGTACTCTTGAAGCTAGTCGAAGATGGGAAAACTTGTGCACTTGAGGAAGTATGAAGATGACTTGGTAGAGTAGATGAAAGAGCACTTTCAGGAGCAACAGTTCTGGAATAAGGACTTGGGAGAGCTGTCACTCCACCATTTTTTACAGTAGATAGGGAGCTGTTAGTAATCCCAGGTTGTATGCCCAGAGTTGTAGCCTCATCTCCTTGTGATGATTGTTGCGTTGGTGATAGAAATGGTGAAAATGTGCTGCTTGGAAAGGAAGAATTAGCTTCAGTGTTGCTGACGCTGAGTAGAGAAGTGACAGTGGTGTCTACAATTGCAGTCAATGTTCCAGTCACAATAGTGGTCAGAATGGTTTTCAGAGAGGGCTCTGGTGGAAAAGAAAAGGATGTAGGTGTGATCCTGGAGGACACCTCTTTCATTTCTGGAGTAGTGAAAGCAGAGGAAATCATTGTGCTTTTTGAAGATGGCCTAGTGTATTTCCCAGGTATGATATCTAATGTGGATGTTTGGCTATTCATAGCAGTCTTAGGGGCAACTGAAGACAATGAAGTAGAGAATGACCCAACTGATGTGGAAGGGTCAGATGGAGGTGAGAAAGAGGAGTCACTAACTGGCATTGAGGGCATCTCAGACATAGACCCAGAAGTGGTTACAAAGGGACTTTTCAAGAAATCTGGGTGTGCTGTTTTAGAAGACTTAGTCATTTCTATCGTAGAAGTGTCAGAAACTTTTCTGGAGGTGAAGACAGTAACATTAACTGGAAATGAGGACACCTGGTTGGTAGGGATGGATGTGGTCAGAGAGTTTTTCCCAGCAAGTGTTGTATGTACATTTTGTGCAGAAAGTGCTGTAGCGGTTCTATCAGTAGACATCATTGTAAAATTGACACTAGATAGTCCCATTGTAGGAGAGAGGGACTCAGAGGAAGTCTGTATGTTTTCAGAAATTGGAGGGGCAATTGAAGTCACCTCAGGTTGAGTTCTAGGTGAAAGCAAGTGTGAAACAGTTGGGCTGATGTTTACAGGATTTGATAATTCATTTGTTCTTGAAGTAGACATATCTACAAATGAAGTATCCTGGCGGTAAGAGACAGGGTGAGTCATAGCGGTGGTGCTTACTGCCATGTTCTCAATCCTGGGAGTGTATACTGAAAGAGTCCGCACACTTTCATTATCAGGAGATGAAAATGCAGTGATGGTCAGAACATGTGAAGGGACAGCTGTTTTCCCAAGACTAGTAGGTATTTCTGAACTATGAACATCTAATGTGTGACTCAAGGTCAAGGTTGGTGTAGTCTGTGTACTTCCAGAAGTGGGAGATGAGACTGATACCACATTGGGTGGTGTTACAAGTGGAATCTCTGAAGGTGCATGACTTTGGTGACTGGAAATTTTTGTGGTTTCAACAAATCTGGTATCTGTCATTTCCGAGGGCAAAGTACTGTGAGAATTTGAAATAAATGGATTCTTTGATGGGGATACTTCTGTCGCCTTCATAGTTTCAGGAGTATTTCCTAAGGATGAAACACTCTGTTCTTTGCCAGAAGATAAGGTAGATATACCAGTCACTAATAGGGTGGGGACTGGTGGGCTGACAAGATGTGTGGAAGATTGAGAAATATGACTATCCACTGAAGTAGTAAGCTTGTTGGCAGAGCTGTGTGAGGTGATGTTCTCATCAACAGAAGTTTCTGTAGTGTCAACGGCCAAGCTAACAACATCTCCACCGCCATTGAAAGTATATGGAAAACTGAGAGCATGGGTAGAAGTCTGCTCCGCTTGAGATGTGGACTGGGTTGCTACTGATGTAGGCACATACGAGATCAACTTAGTAGAGGAGACAATAGGATTGTTGACAGGGAGACATTTAGTACCAGCAGGAGTATGTATAGATGGAGTTACTGTGTCAACTGAGGTGGAGAGAAGGGTGTTCTCAGTCTTTATTGTCACAGGTGTGGGAGGTGTCAGAGAAGGGACTGGAGCTTCTGTCAAGGAGGGAAGTGCCGTAGGTGTCATCCTCACAGAGATCACTGTGACCTCTGAAGTGGTGGGACCTGTGTCTCTGGATGTTGGCATGGCATTGCTGGCTGTGGAAGAAGTCTGACCCAATGGTGGCACCGAGGTTGCTTTCACTGTAGCTGATGACAGAATTGAGACCTCTGAGAGCACAGACGTCAAGGAAGCCCTGGGCAGTGTAGAAGCCTCGGGCATGGTAACCTTAGTCTCCTTAGATACCCCCACAGAAGTTAGAGTGGAGTTATTAACTGGGAGTGAGGACACATAGGCTGTAGGCCCAGGGGTTGTTGAGTAAAGGGTGGCTGTGGGCTGTGGAGGCAAGGTACCAGCAGACAAGGACACAACTGTCCTGCTTGCAGGGTTAGTAGCAAAACTGTTCCCTGATATCATTGCAGTGGAAACATCCAGGGGTACAGGGAATGTTCCTGTGCTCCCATAATTGGGAGATGGAGTTGAATTTCCCTTAAGTGGAGTCTCTGATGTCCAAAGTGCTGTGTAGGTGTGTGTGGAACTAAAAGTTTCTGTAGTTTCATTGTGTAAACTCTTGGATGTGGTTTTCGTTGCTTTTGTGGAAAGCCAACTTCCTCTTGCCTTGGTCGTAGAAATTGCATTATCTGATGAGGTACTTGAGTTTTCTATATCAGGAAAGGAGGAAACAGGGACAGAAGTTGCCCTCACTTGTGCAGATTCATCTGTTGCGTCCATCATTGTCACAGATGGCAACACCTCAGCTGTCGCTGCTACAGTCAATTCCTCATTGAGAGAATGGGAAGTTGTTTCTTTCTTAGTCACAGTAGTGTTGAATATTTGTGTTGGTGTAGACTCTGATGCCAGGGCTGTTGTCTCTCCAAATGCAACTGTACCATTTGTTTCTGTTTGTGTGGTATCAGAAGCACTCACAGTAGACAAATGTAGTTCAGCGTCAGAGAGGGTAGATATCACATCTACTGGTGGAAGAATTGTCTCTTTTGGTGTTGAAAGAGGTTCATGTTCAGCTACTGTGGCTGTAGGGGTGGTTTTTAGTAGTGAGGTGGTAAGTTTACACTCAGGCCGTTTGGTTACAGATATGGTTTCAGAAACTGTGGACAAATTAGCAAACCATGGAGATGTCAACTTGGACAGGACTGTTGCAGATCTGTCTGTAGCAGCCTCAGCAGGAATAGTAGTGCCAGGGGTAGTGATAGTCTTGCTGTCAGGGAATGTTTCTGCTGGAGTGAAAATATGAGTAGTTGTGGAGGAATGTTCTAAATTAGAAGTACGCCCTTGGAACGCTGATGTCAACAGGGTCTGGTCTGGCCTGGAAGTCCAGGTGTTCTCACTGGGGGAGAATAGATGGGCAACATTTTCAGTTATTGATGTGGAGCCTGAGTCAGCTACCTTGGATATGGAAGCTGGTCTAGTGGAAAGCAAAGGAAGCATGTTTTCATCACCTGTAGGTGTACTTTGAGTAGATACTGGCCCAGTGATTGTGAGAGAAAGCGTAGTTTCAGCCACTGTAGGTGCAAGTGTGAGTCCAGGAGCAAAGGCTACACGTGTAGTTGCAATGTGAGCATGAGTCACTGTCTGTACACTCTGAGTTCCGACAAATGGGGAGGAGGTACTGAAAGAAAGGGACACAGAGGAGGTCTCCTCCGGCATGAAAGTAGATACTGTATCCTCCACTCTGTGTGAAGAGACATCCTGGAAATTTACAGATGTTGGTTCTGTTTCAGCTGTTTTTAATGCAGGTGTCATCTCAATAGGCCCAGATGGGAGTGTCCTTGGATGAACTGTAAATGTTACTTTATTATCCGTTGTTGTCAGTGTAGATATCGTGTGATTTCCAGGAAACAGAGAATCTCCCGGAGCTGTCGAGGTGAGCACAAGATCAGATGCTGCTGCTGGTGATGTCCCAATGTGAGTAGTTGTAGCTGAAGTCTGTTCCACCGTAGAACAACATACAGTTCCAGCAGCCGTAGATGCAAGAAACTCCTGGATAGTGGTGGCGACAGGGAGTGCTCCAGTATCTGTGGATTTGTGTTTGGGCCAAGATGTTGTAGACTTGGAAGATGTCTCCTTAGATGAGAATAACGATGTTGTCTTCACAGCAGCTGACTGAGATCTAGTCACTGAAGGTTTGGATGTGATCGAATGTTTGGTAAATCTCGATGTGTGTAGGAAATTAGTCGTAGTTGGACAAAAGTTCTCAGTAACAATGGTTTCAGCCATTTTTGTTGGGGAGTTAGTTATTTTTATGGATTTAGTAGTTGGGCCACTGGAGGTATGCTTGGTAGGCAGGGCGATGGCTGTTGATGTAGACAAAATGTCTGCTGCAGATGTAGGGGTGTCTGTTGTGGATGTCTTTGGGAAAACTGGTGTTGTTGCTGTTTTCAGGAAAAAAAACGTTGTATTCGAGTAGGATACGGTTGTATAATCAGTTGCCAATACAGGCGTGCTTTCAGACATTACTGTAGAATATACAGTCTTTTCAGGCTTCCGGCCAGTAATTTGAGATGGAGTTGTCCAATCTGTTCGCTGTGAAAGAGTTGCTTGCACAGTTGTATCTTCAGAAACAGCTGAAAAGTTAGAAAGTATGTGTTACTCTGGATTCAGCTGTAGACACCACGGCAATTCTTTAGAAAAGAATTCTATAATTTGTTTTTTTATTTTTAAGAGGAAATGAGTATCAGATACAATGAAGTTATTTGACTGCTTGATGTTTTCTTAAAGTGATTTTCTACTTGCTAAAATCTCTATCTGGGTCTCAAAATGCCCTAATTAAGTAATAAATAGGAGGCCATCCCTTCCACAGTACCCCAATAAAAGAGGGGTGCATGCTAAAATAGTGCACTGACTAGGAGGATTCGTTTTGGGAAATGGACCGATTTCTTGAAAAAACAAAATTTATCAAAATTCACGTAGGACAAAATAAATAGTCCTCACTGTATGGATGCAATTGGATTGTGTAGTTGGAAATCTCCGGAAAAGAAGACTACCTTTGGCTTCAAATAGATGTGGTTTCAAATTCTGCTTCCACCTCTTACTCATTGTACACTAATTACTTAATCTCTCTGTACTTCAATTTTCTCCTCTGTGATGTGAGATAATAACATCAACTTTATAGAATTGCTTTGATAATTGAGTTAATACATATAAAACAATCAACATATTACCTAACACACAGTAAAATAATTAACTGTTGTTAATTAAGACTTTCAATTGGTCAAATAAGTCATTTCCCATGGGGTTACTCTGAAACATGTGTACAATATAAAATGCACAAAAACAGAAATATCAAAAGGATATGATCAAAATAAGTAGAAATAGAAATTACAATATTTTCTTCCTGCACTCTAAAGAAATATATGCTTATCCCACTTTAAAGACCACTAGAGCCTAGTTTATGTTTCAATTCAAGTCAGTGAAATTGAACAAGTACTGCAAGTACTGGTCTAGGGTCTAGGAGAAATGTGCAGAGTTTATGGCATGACTCTTTTCCTCAAGAAAAGCACCCAGTGAAAAATCGGATAAATGGAATTTGGGGTGATGGTGAAACATACAAGTAACAAATGATACAGAGTATATTTCAAGATGAATCATAATTTACTTCAGCTCAAATCACCTAAAATTAAATCACACCTGTTCATTGTTGGGAAACTAGCATTTTGAATGCAAACACCTGAGGAGCACATCGCCAACCTCGGAGTAGTTATCGTGGTGGACAATCTACTCACTTGTTTCACTGTCTTAAATGTAAAATCACTTTTAATTTGTATGTCTGAAATCCTGAGATGTACGTAGGATTTCTTTAAGACTTTACAGTCATTAGTAAATAGAGTGGCAGTCAGGCTGTAGAGATGAACTGACAAATGTACACACAACTATAAGGAGGGAAATCGAAGTTAAAGAAGAAATACCTCTTCATTAATTTTACAACATTGTCTTAATTATCAGAGATTGACGTTCCATTAGATCTTATTTTAAAAACTGCTCTATTTTAGCAACACTATTTATTTCAAGCTTTCCTTTAAAAAAAAAATAGCTTTCTGCTTTCAAGTTTGTCCGTAATTGCAAACAAAAGGAGAATGGCCGAGATCTTGGTTTCCATTTTTGCAAATAGATGTATCACAGCCAATTGGCTTGGTAAACCTGTTATCATCACTTACATCACATTTGAGGAGTGTAGCATCCCAAAGCCTGTGTCGCTCTAGGAATACATTAATTGGTGAGAGAAGATTTCACACTTCCCACTTCTTTACAAATGAATAATGATTGAGCTGCATTCACTTTTTAGGAAAACAATGAAACACTGAACCACAAAAGCCTAAGTTATCTTCTTTAATGCAGCACCCAAAAAGCACTACTGGAGTACTCCATAGTCACAAATGAGAGTGCTTTAGAACACAGAGGGTGGGAGTTAGGAATGATAATTTTATCTAAACAGGGATGAGCTACAGATGTTAATTGTTGGTAGCATTTCCAGCAACCATTGCAAAAAGAAACATAAGATTTAGAAAAAGAAAAATGAGACAGGCAGGTGGCACGTTAAGTCCCTGCTATCTCTCAGGATATGACACAGCATGTATACTTTCATTGGAACCTGAAGCCTGGGTTTGTGTATTTCAGAAACCCTATCATTCAATCTTTGCAATAGAAGCCCCCCCCCCCAGGAATTACAGTAACAAGTTTTCTCTATAAAGTATTTTTAAAGACTCAACTTTTCCTTAATTAAATTCACAGACTTTTTGAACCAGGTTTTGGAGATTGTATTAATCCCTGCATTTAGAGATGAGGCCCAGAGATCCAGTGTTCAGGTGAATAGTTAAACTGGGATATAGCTATCACGCGGAATATTACTCAACAATAAAAAAGGAATGGACTATTGACGTGTGTTAACAACTTGGATGACTCTTCTGAGAATTAAGCTGAGAGAAAGAGAAAGCCAGTCCTAAAAGGCTACATACTATATCCTATCAGTATTCACATTTTTTAAAAAGATTTATTTATTTGTACATACAGAACGGGGTACAGGCAAGAGGCTCAGGGGCGGCGAGAGGCTTCACCAGAGACAGAGTGGGGAGCAGAACAGCAGATCGACGCAGTACACTGCTGAGGGGAGCAGCGGGCAGGTCAGGAGAAGTCTGCCATGCCATGTGGGTCACCTCCGGGGCGGGCAGGGATCGAACTCATGAGGAAGTGGCATTAGCTTCTCAGAGAAGTGCTTTAACCTGCTGCGCCACCAGGGAGGGCCAGTATTCACATTTTTAAACTGACAACAATGTTAGAAATGGAGGACAGATTAGTGGCTGTCAAGAGTTAGGGATGAAGAGGAGGGTGGGTGGGGAGAGGGACAGAGAAAGAGGTGTGTTTATTAAAAGGCAACACTAGGGATCGCGGTGGTGTTGAAACTGTTCAGTCTTCACTGGGGTGGTGGGTACACGAGCCTATGCAGGCACGAAAACGACATAGAACTGAATACACCGCACAGATGAGTACAAAGCAAGACTAGAGAAGTCTGAACGTGACTAGTGGAGTCTATCAATGTCAGTATGCTTTGCAAAGTGTGACTATGGAGGAAAAACCAGCCAAAGTGTACAATCTCCAGTTGCATGTAAATCTACAATTGTCTCAAACAATAGAATTTAAAAGAGCTAATACTAAAACCCACACTGTACAGGTAGTTGAGCCATAACTGGACGTTGGTGGCTACTGGCAGGATGACAGAAGCCAGAGGTTTGGCTTGCAACTTCGAAGGGTTCACAAAGTTGTGTTGCCACCTTCACACTGTTCCCATCTGTGAACACGTCATCACTTTCACAGATGTGTTTTGCATGAGCTTTGCTGTCCGTATTTGCAAGTGGGGATAATCCAAGCTAATTCACAGAGGCCTGCGAGTTTAATTGCTATTTGCTCCTTCACTATCGACCAAATTGTATTATTGTAATCATTGCAAGCTGGAGAACAGAGGTATAGAGTAGCTGAATATTTATGAGGCATTTTGTTGCAGATGTACCTGCCAACAGAATATTAAGTAGAACATTTGCCAAGGTACCAAATTTCTGCTTGTGATTTGGGTATATCACCTCATATTAAATCTTTGTGTTTTTCTAGTCCACATAACGCATCTAGTTTTTCCTTCAATCACGACCCCTGTAAATATAATTCAGAGAGGGTTTATTAGATTTGTGAGAGATAATGGTGACCAGAAGCTGCCACTGACAGATTTGCTTGTGGGGTAGAAAAAATATGAAGTGAGCATCTTTAAGAGGATGAAAAACTTTTTTCAAAATGATATCTGTACTCAGTTTCTAGGCAAGGACATGAAAAAATGAATTCTGCGATAGGGAAATAAATAGGCTAGAGTTTCCATCTTTCAATCTATAGGAGGATGTCGCCCTGTGCAGGAGAATACAAATAAGGAGGTTTGAGTGAACTACCAACAGCTCCTACCTATTTTTCATGCTGAAAAACAGGGAATTGGTGTACGAGGGCAAAACCAAATTGCCTTTTAGCTTATAGAGCCCAACACTCTGGAAACTTCCCATCAGAGCTACACAGGGGGCTTAAGAGTCACCCCAAAAGTACATACACTATATAATCAACCTCTGCACAAGTTTAGGTTGGTCAGTTCGTAAACTAATTCAAAGCAACTGGAGCATTAGATCAATTAATAAATCTTAGCAAATTAACAACATCATAGACACAGGGCATTAAAACTCTTCATCTTGGGCTCTCCCTAGTGATGCAACTGGTTAAAGCGCAGCACTACGAAGCTAGCCGCAGCTACTTCAGCATGAGTTTGATCCCCGGCCAGGGAGGTGACCCACATGGCACAACAGACCTCTTCTGACCAGCCTGCTGCTCCCCTCAGCAGTGTACTTCGTCGATCTGCCTGTTCTGCTCCCCACTCTGTCTCTGGTGGGTCCTCTCACTGCCCCTGCACCTCTGGCCTGTACCCCACTTCTATATGCATAAGTAAATAAATCTTTTTTTAAAATTGGTAAATTTGAGTGGAGTTATGAAGCTACCACATCAGAACTTTAGTCCATTGAGTCTCAAATTTAAAAAAATAAATAAAAATAAAACTCTTCATCTTCATATGTTCATAAGTCAGAACAAGTCCTTTGTTGGGGCTGGTCTGTGCTGAGACCAGCACTATGATGCTCATGGCGGGAAAGGGACTTCAGCCTGTGTCCAACCCTAAGTGACTTTAAGAAATTCCTGACACCACCCATTTCTTTTTAAAATGCTGTAGACTTCTCTCACAGCTAAACACTGGAAACAACTTCATTCTTTCAAGAGAGTTCATTGAATAAATCACATTGTATTCCTGTTCTATTACACTAGGCATCATCCCTCTCCCAATCCATTGCACACACACACTCCTTTTGTGCCCCCCAAATAAATTAATTTGAATGAATAGTGAAAGTAATAAAATAACAAAAAATGGTAAATTAATTTAAATTGTAAAAGATTGTATGCTCTTGAAATGATTGTTAACATTTGATTATTTTAGATACTGTAAAATTAGGTTAATCTCATCCTATAGAGGTATATAGTCTAAAATTAGATTAACAAATTACTTTTGCTTATATTCTTCTATCTTGAAATTCTACTTTTAGTAAGCTCACATTAACCAAGATAAGCATACCAAGAAATTTATTAGAGTGCAATTTGCAACTGCAAAAAAATTGGAAACCATTTAAATGCCCATCAACAGTGAGTTAGTTATATTACAGTTATAGAAAGAATATACGCACCTTGAGACTAGCTGAAGTTGATCTAAATGTACTGATATGCCCATGAAAATATTAAGTTAAAAATAAATCTAATTGTACAGCAATTTGATTGTTCAAGAACTCTACACATTCACACACTTACAGACCCAGAAAAAACATAAAGGCAGATCTGTGGATAGCACAAAGAACAGACTTGACTTCATTACTTCACGCACTTTTCCATTGTTGGAGCTTATTTTATTTGCAATCATCATAAATTGCATTTGGAATACTTGAAAATCAAGAAAAGATGCTTAAAACTACTCCAAAACTAAATTACTAATGCTAACAACTTTACTGTTTTTAGTATTGATCAGTGCACTGTTTAAATATTACTGTGACATCTCCAACTATAGTATCATTAAACCCAGGTAGGGTTCATGGTTTTCAGCAAATGTTCCCCAAAAGCCTTGTTCTCATGAATATATAAATATACACATATATAATTCATGTGTAAATAGATTTATTGGGATTCGTAACCTAGCAATGTGCTCATTAAAATTTATTTTTTAAAGGTCATCATCCTTCTATGGACCATAAATACCAATTTATTGGGCAAAAGCTGAAGCTAGGCCTGTTGTAATCACTCCTATTTATTCTCATAATTGCCCCCTCCCCCCAGATGGCATTCAACCAGGTAAAAGAACTCCTGTGCTGTGACAGCTCCTTCAGCAGCAGGCAGGCCGTGACTGCGGCTCCGGCTCCACTGGCTCTGCTCCTCAGTGGGCTATCAGCACAGCAGCTCCCTTCAAGGGAAGCGACTGAGACAGTGGTTCATAACCTTCTGGAGTCACTTACCCCTTCAGATCACCCTTCATAACCTGAGACAAGCTGTGGGGTGAAAACAGCATGGATTTTGCAGACCGATCCATGTTCAAATTCCAGCCCACTATTCATCTGATGGGTCACCTGAGCCTCTCTTTTCTCATGTATAAAATCCTGACACATAGTAATAACTCCGTAAAAGCAGCAATTATCATATTATGTTAGGATGTTATAAAAACTGTAGGTTTTGTCACTTTCAATTCCACCTTGTATTTTTAGCATATTGCAGACAATGTCAAGGGCTTTTCTGGCCCATCAAGGTTATTCTGGACGCATGGTTTAAGGTTTGGAAAAAACACTGGAAGAAGCTTAACTGCTAGAAATGTTTTCTACTTATTTTGCTGTGTTGCCATGTTAGGTTGTTTGTTTATTTGCGATGTTGGATTAGCTATGTACATTGTCCCGCAGGACTTAATCAAAGAGGATGCGTTGTATATTTAAAAATGTACAAAAGAGCAAATTAATTATTGAGGGTTTTCTAGCACTTGAACACAACACTTAAGGGTTAGTTGTTTATGGCAAAGTGGTAGGAAAGGTCTTGGCGACTCAGTGGCCAGATTAGGCTTTTAAAGACAACTGCTAAACCTATGGATTAAATCAAGCCATTCTCCTAATTGCATAGACCAAAGACAAAGTAACTTTAAACTGCTTTGGGTGAGCTGTTCAGGCTCAACCTACTAGTCCCTAGCTCCCCGTTGTAACCAGGGCCAAATAGGACTATTTTTTTATTTTCAAGGCTTCAGAAAAAAGGAAAACCAAGTGCCTTTAGGTAGTAGCTCAAAGGAATAGCTTTCCTGTTCCTTTGCATTAGTGTAATCTCAAAGAAACACAGAAACCGCTGGAATGTGTCTCTACCATGACTCAAACACCTTCCAGACCCTTGGTGAAAACATGCCTCCTAGTTTGTGACAGCCCTGTAAGGTATGCATCTCGCCATCCCCTCTAACCACTCCCTTCCCACCCACCCCCAAGTCCATAAGAACACTAATAACACTCTTCTAAGAATAAGTGAACATTTCAGGAAATGAGGAAAAAAAAAAAAACAACCTATTTCCATACTGTTATCAAAGACTTTAACCACCATCAGGACTGTTGCTGATGATGGTGGAGACGATGCCATTGGAGGGAGAAAGGGTGTTACACAGAAAAAAAACAATCCTACAGTTCCTTCTCCAGACTGGAAAAGAGGGAAAATGCATGTGTGACTCTAAAAGGCAAATTTTCTTCTAAGGATTCTATTCCAAGCACTTTCACCATATCATCACTGCTCTAAAAAATGACTTGGTTTTATAAATATTAATACCATTCCCCACTAAAAGGAACCCAGTCTCTGGAGAAAATGACTGATTCTTAGGCTGAGCAGGGACAGTACCAGACGAGCCTGCAACATCTTGTAGCACTAGAAAGTAAAGAGCTCCCATAAACTATGGGAATATGCCAAAAGGACACAAGAGCCAAACTGAAGGACTCCCACCGGCCAAATCCGGGCCAGCTTGAGCCCAAAAGAAGGGATAGCGACAGATTGCAATCCACTGAAGAAAAGAAGAATCCATGATTTCACGCTAACAAACACATAAACAAATGAAGGAATAAATAAGTTATGTGGGGAAGAAGAGAACATTCTCCTTATAAGAGAATACCAATAAATGTAGAAACATACTAGATTTTTTAAATCATTTTGTAGCTATCATAAATAGTAATGAATCATCTGGGCAAGAATCATCTACAGATGTAACACAGCTGGGTAAATATTTGATAAGAACAAGATATTTGCACAGCCTCCAAATATCTCCCTAGAAATTGCTTATTAATTATAATAAAGGAAAGAATAATGACTTTACCATGGAGAAATCTAGCAGACATCACTAGAATCGAATGATCTCAGTTATCATCACAGTAATGGGACAAATCAGTATCATGAAAGATGAGAAAAACTAAGGCCATCTTCCAGATGAGAATTTAAAGAGACATGCTCACTGAGCACAAATGTGCAGTCCCGAGCTGGATTCTGGACCAAGGATCCATAAAGGAAATTACTAGAACAACTGGCAAAAGTTGGACATGGACTATTGATTAGGTATTAGTAGTGCATCAATCTTAAATTCCCTGCTTTTCATAGTCACGCTGTGGCCACAGAAGAGAATGCTCTTATTCTTCAGAAATACAGAGATTTTTAGGGGTAACGAAGCATCACGTGTGCAACTTACTCTCAAATGATTAGGATTCTATGAGTAGAATGTGTGTAGGGAGGGGGAAGGAAAAAGAGGGAAAATGATAAAAAATGGGAGAAACTAAAAATTAGTAAATCTGGGTAGAGAGTATATAGAAGTTCTTTTTCCTTTTCTTGCAATTTTTCTGTAAGGTTGAAATCATATCAAAATAAAAGATAAAAGAAAATGGAAGTGTCCTTCCCGGTGATGCAACAGGTTAAAGCACAGGACTGTGAAGCTATCCACAGCCACTGCAGCAGAGTTCTATCCCTGACAAGAGAGGTGACCCACATGGCACAGCAGAACTCTCCTGTCCAGCCCACTGCTCCCGTCAGCAGAGTATTTCAGTAGATCCGTCTGCTCTGTTCCCCGCTCTGTCTCTGGTGAAGCCTGTCACCCTCCGCATCTCTGGCCTTTTCCCCAGTTCTTGTATGCATAAATAAATAAATATATTTTTTAATGGTATTTGTTCTACATTAACGAGTAGATGACAAAAGTGTGGCGGTCATAGGTCCCTCTGAGGAAGAGAGTGCCTGGCCTAGGAGAGGCCTGGGGTTTACAGCATCACTGCTCCCTGGCTACAGCAGACAATTCCCAAGTTACTCACAGCAGCGCAGCCTCGTATCAACGGTAGGAATGACCTTGTTGACGCGCCAAACGTTTTCTCCCCAACTAACTATATTTCCATCCAAACATGTCATGAACTCATCATTTTCCAGGATGCGGTCCCAGAGTTGAAAGTAGTACAAGCTGCCACTGAAGGTTGGTACGGCACTTCTCATCTGGCTGTCCCCCTTCTCGAGCAAGCGTCCTAGAATCAGAGTCCCGTTAGGCGCCAGGTTTTGTGGTTGACCCATTATTACCAGTATCCTTTTTTGATTCAGGAAGAGTTCCAATCTGCCTTTCATGCCATCCCATATCAAGCATATCGTGTGCCAGCGCAATAGAGTCAGGTGGTAACGGATAGGAAAGATCTTGCCCATCTTGTATAATATTAGCTGTTGATGGTCTCCCCCAAGTCCAAGGTCAATGCCTTCTCTGCCCAAGAAGGTGTTATTAGTAAGATAGGAGAAAGCCATCCAATTACTTGGGGTGTCATCTGTGAATGCCAGGTCAATGCATGTTGTGAGTCGACTGAGTCCAGGGACGGGACTGGTCAGGGTTGCGTAGGTATCAGTTGCTCCATAAAAGTTCAGTCTTTTTCCCTTTAGTGAAAGTCCGCCTGTCCAAATTTTGGGAGGGAAAAGAAGACAAAAACGAAACTTCAGTTCACAAAAAGTTAATTGTATCATTTGCTCTAGCCATATCATGAAATCCAGATTACACTATGAGTCAGTGCTGGTGCAAATAAGCCAGCATAGTGCATATACAAAAATCACCCCAGGGGCCCTCGCTGGTGGTGCAACGGGTTAAAGCAGAGCACTACAAAACTAGCCACAGCCACCTCAGCACAAGTTCGATCCCCGGCCAGGGATCTGACCCACAAGGCGCAGCAGACCTCTCCTGTCTCACCCACCGCTCCCCTCAGCAGTGGATTTCAGTAGCTCTGCCTGTTCTGCACCCCACTTTGTCTCTGGTGAATCCTCTCACAGCCCCGACACCTCTGGCCTATACCCCAGTTCTATATGCATAAATCAATAAACCTTTTAAAATTTGTTTAAAAAAATCATCTCTAGTCGACATTGGTATGTGACATTTCTTGGAAGAGAATTATATCTTCCTCATTATGTTTTGCCTCAGTTAATGTGAAAAGCTGCATTAGTGTTGCAGAACACACAGCTTCTGGACAGTTCAGGGAGGCAGCCAGAGGTGTGTGGCTAGTAGGGAGAAGGGAGAGAGGCCAACAAAAAGGCAGCTTGGACTGAAAATTTGCTGCAATAGTCCTCACCTGTATAATCAAAAGATAACTACATCCATCCACTTAACTGCCTTATTATATTCATGGTGCAACAGCAATTTATTTCTCCAATATCTTTCCCGAGCCAAATGGCCTGATTTTCTCTTTGAAGATTGCTTCTCGGTGGAAGCCCTGACAGAGGCCTGAATGACCAGCTGACAATACTGAAGACCCAGGACTTCTGCTCACATTTAGGAAATGGAAAAAAGGCAGTTCCCTGCATGTACCCTGGTCCCCTCCTTTGACCCCTTCCCAAGGGGGCTGCGGCAGAGTTCAGCTCTGGGTGGCCACGGACCCAGTTACATTGGATCTGAAGTCAGACAAGTCTGGGCTGCAAGCACAGCTCAAACTCTCACCAGTTTTGCAACTTTAAACAAGTAACCTCACCTCCCAATGTCTCAGTGTTTGCTTCAGTAAAACGGGAGTTCAGGGTCACAGTGCTGTGTCTAAACAACTCAGAGGGCCACCATTCACATGAGAGTTTATGCCAGATAATGAGCCCGACTGCTGACCCCGTAAGGCGGCTTGAAAACTGAGATGATGCGTGCCGAGCGTCTCATGAAGCCAAAGGAGATGTCCAGGGCACAGCCTTTGGGCAGCAATTTGGGAATATTTATGGAAATGGTAATTGCCTGTCCCTGTATTTCATAGAAACATGATCTGTGATATCCCCCAAGCCCTAGGTAAATATATGAAGATTGCCAAACATCAACCTTATTCTAATCCCAGCACAGCTCAAGACAAAGCATAATTCTCCCTGAATTACAGCTGTAACATGAGACCATCCACCCTAAAACCCTATAATGCACTGTAGAGGCTGGCCAGAAGTGACCACTTCCTTGCTTCCAGAAACTTCTAGATATTTTCTAGCTCCACCGTATTCTTTCTGCCCATTCCTCCATGGAACATCGTACAAAGGCAAACAAGTACACACCTTCCCACGTGTGCACACACATCCATGTGTCGGAATACACACATTCACGAGCCAACCAGTTATTTCAGAACTGTCCATGGTGGGTGAGCAAATGTTTCTGCCTGTCCCTGGTTGGTGTGATTATCTTATCATCTTTCAGGCAGCTGAGAAATCAAGGGATCACCCTGCAAAGTGATAATCACTATGAAATTGCCAAGTCTCTATTATGGCTAGTTAATATAGCTTTTCTGTTCAACCCTCCACAATGATGTCAAATGCAACATTTAAGAACATTTATTGTGAACATAAATCTCCAGGGCTCGACTGTCCCTCAAAAGGGAATGTCTCATAATCTAACGTGGTCTACAAGGGCCTCTCTTCTGCCATATACTCACAGGAAGCCAGGTGTCAAAGGTCACAACACTCAACGTACAGAACCAGACCAGAGAGGCCAGTGCCTACACAGATGGCTACTGCCTATTTTCACAGCACAAATTAGAACCTATATACAATGAGATATTAAAACAAACCAGTACATCTGTTTAGTTGTGGAGAAATTTTCAAATATTGCATGAGAGAGCAGGTAGATAAGGCAGGTAGAGACTTAACCTTTTAGAAAAATACATGTTAGTATATGCAGAGAAAAAAAAATCTGGACAAGCATACATCCAACAGGTAAGACTGAGTATCTCCAGGTGTGAGATTTAGGGCACCTTTACTTTCCATATATGTAGCTCTGTAACACTGGCATTTTTAACACAATCATATCTAACACGTGTAATCAGAAACTAGAGATGGATGGATGGAGAGAGAAAGAGAGAGCGCCACTGGGAGTATATTTGAGATTCTGTAGAGGTGAATTATGCTTAGCTATGGGCAGAAGTGTGGTGCGTAGTAAAGTCTAAAAAGCCAGGATTGAGGCCTGGCTGTGCAGCTCAATAGCCATATGAACACGGGCAGTGAATGCAGGTGCAAGATTTTAGGACATCTTGGGCTTGGGGAGAGTCCTATGTGGATGTTACCTAAACTCACACCAACTCTCTGAGCCACACTCCTCCATGGTAAGATGGAAATAAGAATTACCTCATTTGCACGGTCACTATGGAGGGTGATGCAATAATTCTGCATTTCTGCATGTGTGTGAGCACTTTTCTATGGTGAAGCCCCTGTAAATGTCAGCAGCCGTGTTTGCCATTGTTGTCATTAGATAGATGCCTCTCTCTTCTCCCAAAATCTTCCACACCGTCCCCACATGCAAGCACTTCTGCCCTGGGCCCGGTGACAGCCTCCAGACCCCCAATGGGGTTAAGGGGCCCCATGTGCCCACACAGCAAGGCGGGGCCAGGGACGTTGTCCTTCTGTTTGGCTGGGCAAGCGGGGTCTGAGCCGGGCCTCTCCAGGGCCTGCTTCAAAGGCCACGTGTGCCTTTGCATATGATTTGACTATCCGTTGCAGGTGTCTGCTTGGATGCTGCCATCTGTGCCTTAGCAATTTCCAAGTCTAGATTGCACGACTGCACCCCTGAAGCATGTTCTCTCTTGGTTTGGCTCCCTGGTCTCTGCCTCCATCCCCTGTTCCCTCTTCTTTTCAATGACAATTATTACTTTCCCAGCTTGAAAAAGGGGATGTGTTTTTTCCATTGTAAACATGATGCCAGGGGCCCCCCAGTGGCACAAGAGCTAAATCACTATGAAGCTATTGCAGCCACTACAGCACAAGTTCGATCCCCAGCCAGGGAGCTGACCCCCATGGTGCAGCAGACCTCTCCTGTCTGGCACTCTGCTCCCCTCAGCAGTACATTTCAGTAGGTCTGCCTGTTCTGCTCCCCACTCTGGGTCTGGTGAATCATCTCATTCTCCTGCACCTCTGGCCTGCACCCCAATTCTTGTATGCATAAATAATATTCAAAAAAAAAAGAACTACACTATACAAGTCTTAGAAAAAAGCATGGAAATTTTTCTTCATGAACTTGGATCTGGCAATAGGTTCTTAGAAATGACGCCAAAAGAACAAGCAACAAAAGAAAAATCAGAGAACTTGGACTTCATCAAAAGCAAAAACTTTTGTGTGTCGAAGGACGCTGTCAAGACAGTGAAAGGATGACCTGAGAATGGCAGAAAATATCTGCAGGTTGTAGACCTCCAAAAGTCCTGGTGTCCAACAGAACAAAGAATAGCCTAATTAAAGGCAAAAGAAGGACGCGAATAGCTATTTGAGGATATGTAAATGGTCAGCAAGCACAAGAGAAAATGCTAAACGCTGTTAGTCGTTAAGGAAATAAAACCAAAGTCATAGTGAGAGAGCACTGCACACTCTTTGGGTGTTCTGCTACTAATCGAAAAATAAGTGTCACCAAGGAGACAGAGAAGGTGGAACCCTCCAGTGCTGCTGGTTGGCATGGAGCATGGGGCAGCTGGCACAGAAACAGGCTGGCTGTTGCACAAAAAGTTGTGCCACCAAGGAGACCCCCCCTTTTTAAAAA